CTATGAGTAACGATCTTAGAATCTGATATAAATTTTACAAGTGTTGATTTTTATTCGTCTAATAATGCTCAGATTGCTGTTTTCGTTTAGAATCTGCTAGAATGTCCGTTTCTCATTCTTGTTTATCTCTCTTATTGTACCGAATCTGAATTAAAATCTCTATTAGTGAAACAGCATTATTAGACATAACCGTTGTCTTTTTGCAGCTTCAGCTCTTTTGAGAGCTACAATTCTCATCATTCTCATTAGAAAAAAGAAAAGAAAAAAAGAGAAGAGAAAAGGAAAAAAGAACTTTAAGAATGATGAGAATTAAAAGTGTTTTTCATCTCCCCATTTCCTCTAATTCTTATATGATTATTTAATCCTTATATATTTATCTCACGCGCAGTTCTGACAAAGGCAATTCTATTTACGTTTTTATCTTTGTTCTCTTTCTTGCGCTGTTAAGCGAATATATAATCAACATCAACAAAAATTGCTCATTTAAATTAAGAATATAAGGATTAAGTACATATACATTATCGAGATAAACGAGTATTAAATAACTGCGGAATACGTCGCTGTTGAAGACTCATCATGGGTGAGACTGCGAGAGTAGCCAGATGTAACGTTCAGGTAGGACAAAGCATGTTCACTATTGCGCATCTAGATATTCTGCATTGATTTTTCAAATTGGATGCAATTTGCAGGATCAATGTAGAATTAATATTTCGACTCGGGAAAGACTTTTTTTTTATCAAATCCTAACTAAAGGATACTTATAAAGGAGACTAGGATAGAGAAAACGTCAAATCTTTTACGACGATGAAATTAAACAGCAATACAAACTTTGATTTACGATATTAATCGATATTCGATTTCCGGTACTGATTTACTTCCTCATTTCTCTGTAAGAGAAGAAAAAATTAATACGAATCGTTCGTTTGTATATCTGAGTTAATTTGTTGAATAAATTACAGGGGTAAGTACCTGAAAAATGAGAACGAATTGTCATTGCACTTGGACAATCTTCTGACACTGATTTTTGGTATTGATAGATATTCGATTTTCGGTACTGATATACTCTTTCATTTCTCTACAACAACAAAAATTGATACGACTCGTTCATTTATCCGCGTTAATTTGATGAATAAATTAAATATTGATCGGTCTTCAATTTTCGGCACTGACTGATTCTCTAATTTCTTTATAAGAGAATAAGAACTGATACGAACCGTTCTTTTATCCGACTTAATTTGTTAAGTAAATTAGAGGGATAAATACCTGAAAAATGAGAACAAATTGTCATTGCATTTGGACAATTTTTTGACACTAATTTATGGTATTGATAGATATTCGATTTTTAGTACTGATTTACTCTTTCATTTCTCAATAAGAAAAAAAATTCATACGAATCGTTCATTTATCCGCGTTAATTTGACGAATAAATTAAATATTGATCGGTCTTCAATTTTCGGTACTGACTGATTCTTTAATTTCTTTATAACAGAATAAAAATTGAATACGAATCGTTCTTTTATCCGACTTAATTTGTTGAGTAAATTAGTGGGGTAAGTACCTGCAAGATGAAAACAACTTGTCATTGCACTTGGACAATTTTCTTGACATTGATTTATGGTGTTGATCAGTCTTCGGTTTTCGGTACTAATTTATTTTCTCATTTTTTTATAAGACAAAAAAAATTCATACGTTCAATCGTTCGTTTATCCGAGTTAATTTCTTGAATAAGATTAGAGTGGTAAGTATCTGAAAAAGGAGAACAAATTGTCATTGCACTTGGACAATTTTCTAACGCTGATTTATAGTGTTAATCAATATCCGGTTTTCGATACTGATTTAGTCTTTAATTTCTCTATAAAAGAAAAGAAGATTGATACAAATCGTTCATTTATCCGCGTTTGACGAATAAATTAAATATTGATCGGTCTTCAATTTTCGGTACTGACTGATTCTTTAATTTCTTTATAACAGAATAAAAATTGATACGAATCGTTCTTTTATCCGACTTAATTTATTGAGTAAATTAGAAGGGTAAGTACCTGAAAAATGAGAACAAATTGTCATTGCACTTGGACAATTTTCTAACACTGATTTCTGGTATTGATCGATATTCGATTTTCGGTACAGATTTACTCTTTCATTTCTCTACAAGAAAAAAAATTGATACGACTCGTTCATTTATCCGCGTTAATTTGATGAATAAATTAAATACTGATCGGTCTTCAATTTTCGGTACTGACTGATTCTTTAATTTCTTTATAACAGAATAAAAATTGAATACGAATCGTTCTTTTATTCGACTTAATTTGTTGAGTAAATTAGTGGGGTAAGTACCTACAAGATGAAAACAAATTGTCATTGCACTTGGACAATTTTCTAACGCTGATTTATAGCATTGATCAATATCCGGTTTTCGATACTGATTTAGCTTAGATAAAAGAAAAAAAGATTGATACAAATCGTTTGTTTATCCACGTTAATTTGATGAATAAATTCGATATTGATCAGTATTCGATTTTCGGTACTGATTTTTCCTTTCATTTTTCTATAAGAAAAGAAAAAATTCAAACGAATTGTTCATTTATCCGCGTTAATTTGATGAAAAAATTAGATATTGAACGGTCTTCGATTTTCGTTACTGATTTATTTTCTAATTTTTTTATAAGACGAGAAAAATTGATACGAATCGTTCGTTTATCCGAGTTAATTTCTTGAATGAGATTAGAGGGGTATGTACCTGAAAAATAAGAACAAATCGTCATTGCACGTGTGCAATTTTTTGACACTGATTTATGGTATTGATCTATATTCGATTTTCGGTACTGATTTACTCTTTCATTTCTCTTTAAGAAAACAGAAAATTAATACGAGTCGTCCATTAATCCGCGTTAATTTGATGAATAAATTAGGTATTGATCGGCCTTCGATTTTCGGTACTGATTTATTCTCTCATTTCTTTATAAGAGAAGAAGAATTGGTAAGAATCGTTCGTTTAACCGAGTTAATTTGTTGTGTAAATTACAGCTGTAACAGCGGTAACTTGAAAAATGAGAACAAATTGTCATTGGACAATTTTCTGACACTGATTTATGGTATTAATCGGTATTCGATTTTCGATACTGATTTACTCTTTCATTGCTCCATCATTGCTCTTTCATTGCTCTATAAGAGAGGGAAAAAATTGATACGATTCGTTCATTTATCCGCGTTAATTTTTTTTTTTTATTATATATAAATGATCCATGAGACGATTAAATATTCGAATACATGTTGCCGTATCAAAGTCTCCTCTATAATAAACGATTTGACACGTCTGGAGACGCATGATTTATCGTTGCCCGCATCCCATTCCCCTCGTCCTGCTTCCCTGTATAAAATGTCGAATTGAAACGTGTTAAAAAGTACCGACATTTTGAATATGTCTGAATGCTGAATCTTTTTGATCCGAAGAAAAGAATTGAAAAGTATTAGTTTCCATTAAATTTTACTGCGCTAAATGCGAGACGGTCTCTTTCGCCCGGGTGCCTCACCAGAGAAATTTCTCTGGTACGCTAAATCCCGTAAGGCGATCAGTCTTTGTAGTATATCTCGTCGGTGCATAAGGTTTATTATTACCTGTACATACACACATACATTTGAAACATTTTCTTTGGATATTATATCAAACGGATTTTGCGTGTCACGTAATATCCTTCGGACTACACGGACTTTATTATTTTGATCATTTTGATTTCTTTGGTATTCACTGAATTGTCCAGAACGCGCAACTGCTGCCATGTTGAACGACTCAATTGTCGTGTGAAATGTTTCGATTTTCACAAATTCATATAAAATTTTTCATTTTTCACTGATTCACAGAAGTCTTTCACTTTTTATTAGTTCACGCTAGGGAAAAGATTCATAATTGCTGCCCCGAGCTCAGATTTCTGTCATTAATAACTCGATAATTATTGCGAATCTCGCAAAACGGTACGGGACTTTTATGTTTGTCTCGACCCAATCCCTACCCTCACACTTCGGGTTGGCAGCTAATTACCGGACACTTCGTACGATCTTCATGATATTAATCATACACAATGTCAATTCTTTTTTTTTTTGCACATGTCAACATGTTAATTCATCTTATAAGCTCGTAACAATGTGCGAGACCGTGCTTGTCGAGTACGCTATGGTATTGTAGCACGCGGACATAAACCGCCTAAAAATGGATGTAGCACGGACTGCCACCACATACAGGTTTTACCGCCGAAACCTGAAAGTGGATGTAGCATCGTAGTTCCCCTCTCAAAATGGATGCAGATGGCGCCCTTTCCCAGTGCGGAAAGTCGGTGTCGTCGAAAGCACCGTGTTGGCCGCTCTCACGTTCCTCTCTGGTGGTACTTTCGAATCGCGATTCAAATCGAGATTCGGGAAATATCCTCGGGGGACACGATTCTGATATTCAAAATATTAGGGATATTGTTAAGATAAAAGCATGAATCTTTCGACGTTGTCGGAAAATCGAGTTTACAAGACTCATTATGTCATTATGTCCTTCATATCCTTCTTTAAATTTCTCAACGTAATCATTTCCCGATCTGGTCGCATGTTGATTGTCGGACCAACCTGCGACATCTACACGAGATACATCGAGATACCGCACTTGAAAGTAGTCAACGACGGTATAATGATCTATACGCGGCGTGTTGCAAGTGACGATTACAAATTGATCGCAGCAACGTAACGCACGTAACGTGCTGCTTCTTTCTTCCTTTTTTTTCGAAGAATTTCTCAACCAGCTACAGGTACTAGTTAGTACACCGAAAATTAAAATAAACAAAACAACTCTTAACAAATACGTATCGTACCAATCAGTAAGTTCTTTCAATTATCACACATACATGTACGATTACGTGTGAGATTATAATGGACTTTCGGCAGGGGCATATGCGGGAAGTATAGGAGAAAGGAAGGAAATTGTCTGGAAGGGAATTGTGCTGCACTAAAGAAAAAGAAAGAGGTTGACATTTTATGTATCGCAAATATATTGTTATCGAATTAGGTTACAGCAAATCGAATGAAACACAATGTGATTCAATGAAATTCCAATTTCAATCAGATCAGATGCAAGTTGAACTTTCACAGAATTTGTACAGAATGTTAAACGTTACAAATGCGCGTATGTTGTAGTAGTAGTAAAGTAGAAAGAAGAAGAAGGTGCCAATTAAAACAAAATGTTTAGTACAATGAAATGTACATATATAATAGCAGTATAAGAATTACATGGCTCGCGTTAAGCTTGTTAAAGCGCGTCGCCGGTGTCGCTGGGCGAACGTATATCGTCAATTTTCAGAATCATCTTAACCAGCTGCGTGGCTAACAAAATCTGCTGCGTTTTGCTCGTCAGCGTTTCAATGACATTCTGCCTTTTCATATCTGCAACGTAACTCGTAATAACTATTACTATGCAATGTCCGTGACGCGATACATACACACACACATTGAAGTAGAAATTGATTGATACGTACTCGCTGTGCCACGATTTAAGCAATCGATACCGAGAGTGGAGTTCCTTTCGAATAATTGACGCGCCTTGATTTCCGCGATGGTGTCCACCGGCGAAAGACCGGCATTCTCCGCCAGCGCCATAGGGACACTCTCCAAAGCTTCGGCAAAGGCACGGAAAGCGTACTGTTCCAGAGTACTGATCTTGTCGGCCTGTGCCGCGCACGCTAACGCGCAGGATATTTCTGCCGCGCCTCCGCCGTACAAAATTTTGTTGTCCTTGACGACATTACGCACGGTACACAATGCGTCGTGTATCGATCGTTTCGCCTCTTCGATGATCTATGAATAAAAGAAAAGAGAGAAAGAAAGAAAGAAAAAAAATGACATATCAATAATAACTACAGTGCATATTCTACTGAAGGAAGAGACTCTCCTCGGTCTGTTTGTTCAAATAACGGTAAATAAAAACGAATGTCGCATCGCAAACAATTCAGTTCGATGAACAAAGAGAATCGTACCACACGCAAGGTGTATGTTGTGTACAAACACACATCTCTAATAATGGCAATGCGTTAGTGTCGCAAGGTGTCTGGTCAGTATTGTACATTGTACATGGTACAACTGAAATTCTCCTTGCTCAAACACATTATTTGCACCGTAGAGGTCATTATCGTTACCATTTTGTTGCCACCGCGAATAAAGATTGTCACAGCGCGTGAATTTTTGCATTCCTCGATCACCAACATTCGATCCTTCGTCGTGCCGAACGTTAATTCCCTAACGACGCCAGCATGACCGAGCTTTTCCGGCGTCAACTCTTCAAAACGCGGCACAATCCGGCCACCAGTAGCGATGGCGATTAGCTGAAGACAAAATTTTTGAATTCCTCTGAAGCGTGTTATAATGCAAGTATAAAATTTTTAAATTCAGCTTAATTTAGGGCATCAAAGCTGCTTCAGATCTCATAATCTTTGAATCATTGGAGCCACCGCAAGAGCTGAATGACTGATAGTCTAATCTTGAAAATATATTTCCATCTCTTTCGCAAGGTTAGCGTAACTAGTTAAACTCACGAAGAGAGGCAGATCAACACAGTCCAAATTAAGACGAACCAGCCCCTCGAGCTCTCGCATCTCCTCCGGCATTTTTTGTCATCATTATGTCCAGAAAACATGACGATTGTACAATTGTAGGGATAAAATTGCGCAGGTGACATGCTAACCTCGATCTCTGGGCCGCCGACCCATCTTACGGCTGGCAATTGGTTCTGCAGCAGCAGATGATTGGCTTCGTCGTCGAAACCCCATTGACAAATAGCCAAGGTCGCGCCTGCATCTTTGACCTGTCTCACCATTTCCGTGAACTTTTCGCGCTCGTAATCGCGCAACGCTCGGTAATCGTCAACCGACGTAACGTCCAACTTGTGCTTTGTTTTCGGCTTCGGCGGTTCGAACGGGCAAGTTAGAATGGCCAATTTCACATCTTCCAGCCTCTATGATTGTGACATAAACATTGAAAGTTGTATGAATGATTTTTATCTATTTATTGCGCAGTAAATGTTTGTAAAACGTGTGTTTGGCAAAAGTTTACCTTTGGCATCTGAGGGTGACTAAAATCCTTGTCGATAACGACACCACGCACCAACACGGTATCTTCCAATCTACCGCCAACTTTTCCCTCTATCTTGATCAGCTCGAAATTAACATCACGCTCGACAGGATCCATAACCGCTAATACAGCTTGTACCGCAATCTCTGCCATTTGTCTGTGATACTTATTAATACTACAAAAGAAACAAAATACACAGATGCGAGCAGACGGTGTATGATATTCTTGCTAAACTCATATCTGCCCTGTCTTACATTTTTGAGCCGAGCGATGTCATGGCAATGTCAATGTAAGGCTCCAGATTATCTGGCGTCCCTTTGAAATTATCTACAATTGTTTTGAGATGTTCGGTAGCACATTTGGCAGCTAATTCAAAACCATCCGCTATCCTGATTGGATGGACTCCCTTGTCCAATAGTTGTTCGGCTTGCTCCAGTAGAGCGCCAGCCAGGACCACTACTCCGGTAGTGCCATCGCCGATTTCGTCATCTTGAGATTGCGACAACTGAACCATCAACTTGGCAATCTCATGGTCTACATCCATATTCTTCAGAATCGTAGCACCGTCATTGGTCACAGTGACATCCCCGTCGGAGCTCACCATCAATTTATCCAAGCCCTTAGGACCCAATGATGTTCGAAGGATATTGGCTACGTTGCGAGCTGCCAAAATATGCGACTGAAAATAAAATACTTCTCATGTATGAAATTTGGCAGGACATATTGACTTGTCACTTAACGAAACACTTTACATCAATCTGATTTAAGTGATAAACGAGATTATTTCTAGATATTATATAAAAATTATTTGCTCATGTTATCTATACAATGGAGAATACGGATGTATTAGAGTTTGGTGAATGATAAATATACTATGACAAAACCAACTGATAATTCCATACCGCCATAATTTTTGCCGATACTGACAATCCGTAGTTATGTGGATTGCCTTATACGGTCCTAAATTACGATTCTGCATCACGGGTCACGGATCCGCATCAGAGGCATCACTCTACGTGCTACGTACGTATGTAACATCAACCTCGAAAGTGTCGAAAAAAAAATGCTCTACGTATCAACGTACTGTGCTATCACAGCGGAAGAGCCGTAAACTTTTTCTCCGAAATTTACGACCCGACTCTTTCTTTCGGCTAGTCGCCAGACACAAAAAGAACGCCGCCATTGAACTGATATGGGCCGCGCATGGTGAACTTTCACGGACCGTAAGATGACGTCAGTAAGAATAAGGACGAGAAAGACGTTTCTGCGTTGCGTTGAGTTTATTCATACAAGGCGATCCGCGAGATTGCACGATGAAGGATGAACGAGATACTCGGGTACGGGATTGTTCATGTGCGTCACCACCTCACCTTGATCGCATCGTGACCGGTGAGGCGTTGCTGCTTTTCCTGATTACGGATGATGATGAAGGGCCGGCCGTATTCATCAAATGCCATCGTTCCGGGTATCGCCGTCATTTTTGCTGGTTGTATTAAAAACGGATCCTCAAATTAATCGCTAACGAGGAACCGTCTCCGACAAGCTCTGCTGTTCCGATCGATCGTTCGTTGATCGATCTTACGCTGTCCCCTCCACACGTACGACGCTCGCTCGCTTCTGCTCGCTTCAACGGTCGAAGAACCGAAGAGACGGAAGCTGAACTCTGAAGCGGCACAACGAAGATTCGTTGTTCGAGGATGATTCAAGGAACAGTCGAGATTGGCCGAAATGTATTCGACAGCGGTAGCGTTGAGGGTGAATACGAGAGTGGCGCCATCTCGAGTTGCTCGACAAGTATCATCGAGTGTCGTTTTTCTTTATACTGTGAAGAATATCATGTATGACCAATCGTTTAGCAGTACTACTCGACAAATAAGCTAGGTCTCTAATTCCCAAGTGGTAAGACTCAACGATAAATTAATCAACATTTTTATATTTTTATATTGATGCAATTCCGTGGTCGCTTTCGCGAGACGGATTGAATAGGTATCATATAAATATTATCGATTTATTTATAAAATTATACAATGTGTCGGAAGTTGATGACGATTATTTAAAGTTTAAATCACAACATATAAACGTATATACGGCACCTACTTGTGTAAGAAGGGCCATTGCGTAAATAGAAGGTATAAAGAACTCAATGTAGAGAAGATACGTAAATCACACAAAGGTCAGGATATATATATATATATATATATATATATATAAAAGAATGTGTATGTGTACGTGTATGTAATCGGTGTTAAATCGGCTTTTACGAAACACGCGACGACCCAACACAATACAAAATATATCAAATACATCGCGTCGCTGATGTAGATTCAAGCAACGACGTTACATATCCCACACCAACGCTGAAAATCACACAGAGCTGCGGAACATTTAACGTAATTTCTACGATTGTAATACGAGGATATTCATGAACGATGCAGAATATGATTTATAATTTAGCAAATTCACAAGCGAGCCAGAAGTTACAGCTCTCGATTGAAGCTCACTAGGCGCGGGAAAATGGTATTGAGAACATTGACGACTTCATCGAAAGCTTCCTCGAACGACGACGCGATATATTCGATGGTCAATGCGATGTAACTCACATCCTCGTAATCGTCATGTTCCTCGTCAAGTATCAAGTAGTCGTACATTATGGGCAGAAACACGATCGCAACGTACACCATAATAACAAGAAGTGCTGAAAGAGAATTCCATAGTAATATTTTCAGCCGTTTTAGAAAAAGTGTTGATTATCGTTATATTGTTATCTTACTTTCATTATTACACGCACGTGCAATAACAATTGATTATTCGATAATTATAATTTACCTATAGCTTTGAAATTGACAAATCGTTTGCTCGCATGACCAATATCCTTCCGTTTCATCTTCTTCACATGCGTCGACGATAAGCCAAACGTTTCACAAATATTTTCGCGCGTTGCCGATTCGTTCGCAATCGGATCCGGAAACGAGGATCTTTCAATGGAAGCCATTGAATCTCGAAACGTCTTTCCAGATACATCTCTACGAGAGAGAGAGAGAGAGAGAGAAAGAGAGAGAGAGAGAGAGAGAGAGAGAGAGAGAGAGAGAGAGAACTGCCGTTAATTTAATTAATGAGATTCGAGAGATTGTAAGTAATGTCGTGTACGTGCACATATATCATTTTTATCTGTTCGCAAGCAATATTTACAGCGTCTTATTGATCATGCAAGAGAGCACGGAACATTGTTGCAACGTTCGGGATGCAGGTAGATTCGCGCGACTTTGCATCTCGTTGGAACATTTATCCTCTTCACGCGCAATATCCGGCCCAGTCAGCGCGTTCCTACGCTTGAGTTTCCTATAATACTCCCAATAACTTTTGTTCAATAGCTGCTGAGTCTCCAACGGAATGGACGATGGCTGCTCGAATCGATGTACGTCCGCTCGATGTAGATTCGCCAAAAAACGACTCCGATCGATTCGACTTCGTTTCGACGCATTGGATTTCATTCGTATCGAATTGATACCATTTATCCAGTTTCTTCGACGTGACAATTGACTCACCTTCAAACGGGTTCTTTCGTATCGATATTGTTTATCCTTAATGCGACGAGGCCCGGGCAACATTAGAGTGCAGTCGGAGTCGTTTGTAGTCGCCAAACGAGATCTCTTCCGAAAGAACGACTTGGCTTTTCGCGACAAATTTGTCGTTCTTCGATTTGAATTAAAGCATATCGTCTCGCACCGTAATTTAGTCTTGTCCGTGTCGTCCCTCTTCTGACGTCTCTCGCCTGTAACTTTTGTATCTTCTCGCAACATTTTACCACTCGATACTTTCGCCTTTATGCACGAGCAACGCAAACAGCTCTTCGACGGTATTCTCGTCGCTTCGATTTTTTCACTTGGTACTTTTCGCTCGAATGCGAATAACGCCGAGTGTGAGCGATGCTGCAATGTACGGCTGCTTTTGGAATCGCCTCTACGCCTTTGTGTGTTTCCCAAATTTTCAGCGCTGTTTAAAATATACGAGGAGTTTTCTCTTCTCACGTCGTCCGCGTTATCCCTCGTATGCAAGTTGCTACAATGATCCTGATCGAGAGAAATCTTGTGGGTCGACGAGTTCGAGTTAATGTTCTCTTTGTTCCGCGTCAAGTTGGAAACGCCATTTCCATTGTCACAATGTGAAGTATTCCTGTTCTCAGACATATTCTTCGTATTGTGTTGCTGGTTAACTGAAAAAAAAAAGAAAAGGAGAAGCAGTTAAATTTATAATCTCAATCTTGTGTCAATGCGAACAACGCAAACGGTCTCGCAAGCAATTCATTACTATCAAGCACATTTTTTCCATTTCCACATTCCTTGGATAAGCGCGTCTTTGACTTAGTCGATACGGACATTGCACAAATATTACTGGCAATTTCCTCAAGCTTCACACTGTCGCTCTGGCATTCATGCCAGGTATCATCTCGCCTTTGCGTCAGATTTACATTGCAAAGTTCATCCGACTTCTCAGCCTTCTGCCGCGATACCTGTCTGTGTATAGTAGTGCGTTACAAACTGCGTTATCATCGTGTGAAATCAAAATGTGTGAAAACAAAACAGCCGCCTTAATTCAGTGGGATTTAATGCCTTTTAAAGCGCGGATCGATACAACCAGGCAATCTTTCTGCATGTGCACGTGCGGAAGTTTCGTATTGTTTGTTTATTCTTGACTTGGGATATCTGAAATAAGAAAGCAAAGAATATGGAAAGAAAATAATAATGTTCCTAGGCTGAAGGTTAAGTATTTAGTATTTAAAAAAAAAAAAAATAAAAGAAAAGAGAAAGAAAATATGAAAAAGAAGAAAAGACTCACCGATACATGACGGTTTGCGTCGCATCGCAATTTTTTCTAGCAGTTCCCGTCACGGTAACTACACAAGGAGGTTCAATAATGTCATCGGTATCGCCGGTTAAACGACGTAGAGGTATTTTAGGCCAGGACGGGTCAGAAGGGAGTCTAATATCGTGAGGAATCGTGGCGACGAATGAAAAAATCGATCTTGCTTATTCATAACGCAGACAATGATTTTCTATAAACGCAAAGCGCCTACCGTAACGTGCTGGTGTTACATTTTTCCGGAATCGCTGATAGATTTTGTCCATTGACTGAAAAAAAGAGAGACATTAGATCAGGCATAATGTCTTACTCGACGATAATTCTTGAAATGTTTACCTTTTATGTGCAATTCAAGTGCACCCACGACGTCGTCGCGCACCATATCGCGAAACGCACAATTGCGCGGACACTAAGATTCCGTGATGTAACGTGATATACGAGGACTGTGCTACCTCACATCAAGTCGAAACCTGATGAGATTAGACCTAAATAACGTGTGCGGCACGATATGCATACGCATGTCCAGATCACATGTTTCCTCGATATCGTGAGACTTTGGTGTCGTACGAACGCCGTACGAATTATAAATTGTTTTATTTGTCACGATTCAACTGTCTGGAAATTTCTTCTTCTTCCCACCCCCACTATTGCGGCACAGATGCAGATATAAATGATTATTAACGATTATACTTTATTATCGAATAATCTTTATATAATATGTATACACACAACTGTAAGTTTTTAACACATTAGAGTATAATATATAATATTTACACCCCGAATGTACATACAGCAAAGACGATTATAGCCCAGTCTTGAGTTCCGCGGGAAGATTGTGTAATTTTTTTTTAATTTCGACAAAATCGAGTCCGACATCTCGACAGACGCTACAGACGGATATCTCTAAAATAGACATAATGAAAGCTAAAAGCACGTAAAATAGGCGAGTTAAGTTCACCTCAAGGTGAACCTCAAGTCTGGCTGCAACATCATACAGGAACAATCAATTATTATCTATCGATACTTTCTTATAACAGACGACGCTATTCTAAAGTGTATTTGCGCGCACCATGCTTATTGTTATATCACATCACGTCGTTAATCTATCATTACGGAAATGTCCTTCCCTTTAATCTTCATTTTCCTTCCATCGGGAAGATCTTGCTTCTATTCAATTCCTTCCTACAGCTCAACAATGCCATGTAGTATCTGTACATGTTTTCTAACGTGTCTCTCTTTACAGAGAGCGAAGAAGAAACATTCGTGTGATAAAAATACGCTATAGTATAAACATATCGTTCAATTCAGTTGAGATCAGTCGAATTGTATTAATTTATCAAAGATCGAACTCTTTCAAAGTTGCATGGATAAGGCGTCATGAATATGAACGAATTTCGCGATCGCAACGCGAGAAGAACGCATATCTTGTTTCTCGTTACACTCGTCGTCCGCGCGTTTTTTGAAATAACCAATTTTCTTTTCTATCTCCAAGTATTCAAATTGATAAATATGGTTTACGTCTCTTTCTGTTTAAATTTCACACTCTCCCTCCCTCTCTCTCTCTCTCTCTCTCTCCCTCTCTCTCTCTCTCTCTCTCAATATCTTGTTGATATTTGAACACAACATAGCGAAACTTGTGCGCATTATTTATCGAAGCAAAGAAACACACAAGTATAAATTATTCAACGTCTAACATGTAGAAACTGTAACAATTGCGACTAAATCATAAAATTATACTCTACTAGCAAAATAAGCTGACAGATGTGTCTCTCTTGACTAGACGTTCAAAAAATGTAATATAGCTCGAATCGAGCTGTTCTCGCCGAATACAAAACTTGCGTCTTATATCACTGATTTCTTACTCTACGTGTATTACACGATGATCTCTTTATTATCGTCAAATCTTTAATTGGTCCAAAGCACTAGCGTCTTTCCCATTAATTATTCTTAACTATGGCTATATTCCGTTTTTCTTTTACAATACTTTGTGAAAATTAGCGAAATACTGTAAACAATAAGTACAGAACGCATCAAATATTTTCCCACTCTCCCGCACGAAAGTTTCTCAAAGCGTGTAGCAAAGTGTGCCATTTGTCTCTCCGACAAGTTATACATTCTAGAGTTATAATCATCAACACGCGCACACACGTGTTACAATAACGTATAAAGCTTTAACAGCATAAAAAGTATTACCGTTCAAGAAAGGTATAATCTTATAGACAAGAATTTCTTTGATTTTGAACACTTGTTACGTACTATTTACAGATTTCAGTAAAGATAGTGAGTTTTTACCTTTTTAAACTAAATTGTAACATTTGCGCTTTTGTAAACTATAACACAAAATCTAAATAGCGCATATTCTGCAAGGAAAAATAAACAACTGTCGTCTAAAAAACATCATGGTAACGCATGGTAGTGCAATCAGTTTTTTTTTTCTTTTGCCTACGGGATAAACTAGAAATAAGAAATTGCAAAGAAGTAGTTTTAGATATACATTAGACAAACTGAAATAATGCCGATTGTGTTTGTCGTAAATTAAATATCAACGATTATTGTCCGACAGTAATATCATATCGCAATGTTTACCGTAAAGTGATAAAGCGATACATGCGTTTGGAGAAAATGAAATCTTATCTCGTTCACGAAGATTATCGCGTTCACAATCGCGATTATCTGATACCGAGAAATTTAAGTAGAAACAGGTGTTCACGAACGTTGACGGAGGCACAATCATACGAGAAATGCAATGCTTATCAATTACGTTTTTCTTATTACGATAATATATATTTATCACCGTAACAAGTATATGTTGGGTGTGTGTGTGTGTGTGTGTGTGTGTGTGTGTATTGTTATATTTAGTACATATATATATATATATATATATATATACAATACGAGATGTTTTTTACCGTGTTCTTGATTCTCTCATTATTGTCTCGCTAAGCTTCATGATCACCACTGTCTATCCCTATCAAAGATTCCGTCTGTTCTGCCTCGAGATCCGGAATCCTAAAAATTCACAATTCACATGTAGCACATACGTGACAAAATGTCCATACCGACATACCGACAAAATGTCGGTTATTCGGTGCGGTTGTACTAGTATTATTATTTCATTATAGCCTGATTTACCTTGTTGATCTGTTGTTTCTTCTGCAAATCCAAATATAAAATCGTTTCATCAGATCCATAACAGGATCCCAATTATCGTAGTAAGATAAGAGAGATACTGTCAGAAATGCTAAAAGCATTGGAATGCTCCCTAGGTAGAAAATACAAGGATATTCAACTTTTTTTAGAAGGACATCAGCTACCATCGACATGGGCATTGTTAAGCTTACGGCTAATGTTGCTACGAGAGACGACGTTAGAAAACAACCCCTGTGAACATAACAAGATACAATAAGCCTAAAATAAAGCCTCTGTCATTACTGAATCATAATATACTAAATATGAACATTGCTGAAATTACCATAGCCAAAGGACTTCGCCTAGGACCGTACCGATCAGGCCGTTTATAATTAGAAACGTCCACTGATGGCTATTGGGCCACTCGAATTCTTCCCAATGACCGTAATGTAGAATAAAAAATAAAGGCCACAAAAGCGTTAAATTAAATATCCCCACGAAGCCGAAGAACATTGGTATATCCATTTTGTCCTCGTGATCTACTTTCCTCTTCAAAAATACAATATACGCGGCGTAGAAAAAAGCACTGACTAGAGCTAATATTATGCCCGTTGACATGCTGTTGCTTTTTACATTTAAATCCGAAAGACCGACTAATACCTGTGAATATAAACAAAATAATTTATGAGAATCGCGTTGAAGTTCTCTTGTGCACTCTTGTACTCTTGCGACAGGAGAACACAGAGAATTTACTTGTAAGCTAAGGATAAGATCCTCTACAGTCATATAAATAAAGTATAGTAAATTTTCAACTTACCAGTCCAGAGATGCTGATGACTACAGCAGCCAATTTGGACAGTGTGAACTTGTCTCCTCCGTTACTGGGGAAGAAGGCCGCGAGAAATAAAGTGAATAAACTAGACGTCGAGGATAATATAGTGACGATTCTGGCTTCGGTTTGCTCTAACGATATTTGGTACGTGTAATTTGCCATGAACCACTAGAAGAAGACAATATATAAGTTGACACGCAGGCGCCGCCCTCCTCCCCTCTCCGATTACAGGCGGAACGTTATATTATATACAATTTCACATTGTATTACATACAAATAGACAAAACATAAGAGCTATTTTGGCCACTTTTTGTACAGAGAATTTGTTTGCCTGCCGCCTCGCGTGTTCCCCGGCTCTGACGCTAGCTTGGTAACTAAGTCGCGCCAATAGAGCCTCTGTAGCGTCACTCTCCGACATATGGCGCACTTCCGCTAGTTTACTAAATCTTACAGAGCGTATAGACGAATCGTCACTTTCCGTACCCGATGAACGGTCGCAATGATCCGGAGTTTTTATCGGAACGAACGTTGGATCGCTCTAGAATAGAATGCTTGTTATTAATCACAGCAGCACTGTAAATCAATGAACATCATGTACGTTACTATATATATTGTTACTTTCAACATAGACGCAACGAAACAAACGAAAGTTACGATGTATTGTAATATTTCTTACTTACTAAACTGGTATTAGCTTCCGAATAGAAGTTGTCATCCTCAACATTGGGATCTATAAACTGGAAGAAAATAAGATGTGTACAACAAGTGTGAGACAAGTAGTAAGGGAATGAAGAAGAGAGAAAGTTAAAGCTCGCATGTACACAAGGCATCTCGTGCAATCTGTACATTTCAATAAGTACCATGTATGTGGCTGGTTTATTACATTGTTCCCGCCAAGGTGGCCAGAAGCACAGGCCAAGCAAATAAAGTGTAAACATAGATGTTCTTACGTATGTACTAAAAAATGGCTTTTCAAATGCCGCCTCTCTGTAAATATACTGAAACATAATGCATTACATATAAAGTGAAAATCCACGCGTAAAAGCAAATATAAAGACAAGGAGACAAAGGAGATAATGATTATAGATATCAACACAGTGATCAGAATATTTGCGGAACATGCAGAATATTTCTGCAGAGAGGAACATCTTACTTTGGTAAGTTCAGAACTGGAGACCCAAATTATGTCGACTAACAACAGCACTAAAAGACCCAATATGAGTCTTTGAGATTTATTCATCATCGCCGCTAGCCTATGAGGATCCTCCACAATCCCCTGTTGCCTACGCTGGCGTAATTCTACAGAACAACTCATCCTGTACTTCTGAATCTCTCTTACTTATGGCATTGTATTTACGCATTGGTTCCTGTAAAAGCGTACAATATTTTGACATCAGAACTAGTCGAGTCCGCAAGGAAGTAGCCTTTTGTGAAGAAGAAATAAAAAATAATTATTTACAATACATCTTTCCCCTTTCCACTACACAAAGTCACCATTGTACAGCGGTTACCAAACGAACATTTCGGTCGATGCAACGATTCTGGATTGATCTGTTCTAATAGTGTTGCTTCACAACGTGCGCAACATAAAATACGTGTCTGCTCAATTATCAGCTTGACGGCGCATTAAATCATAAAAACACAGAAAATACGTAGAAGCTGACCCTGCGCGCGCCTCGCACATATTGTTCCTGCATCGGTCGAAATATAAGTGCACGGGAGTGAGAGGAGGATTCAGGCGTTAACAGGTGTCGAGGCAGGACGACGAGCGACATTCATGATTCCCTCAACGTCACACACGGCGAGATAACCTAACTCTCAACCGGTCGTTGACAGCCACAGCCAACGGCTCCACATTTTATGCATCAAGTCGCTCGGCTAATACACGAGTCTCTCTCTCTCTCTCTCTCTCTCTCTCTCTCACACACTAGTTCCTCAATTCACAAACTTTCCAGGAGCGAGCGTCGCGATTGTCGCGGTTATACGCCACGCTAGACTCCAATATATGATTCCAGCGCAACTTGCCGCGTAGCGTCGTGTAGCGTCCGCCTACATCTTGTAGCGCTGGTGATAACAGGTGCATATACACTCGCCGTTATCGCATCTGATAGCACCATTGCAATGTCGCGAAATCCTCACCGACGCGCATGGTCTCTCCTTCCCTCTCCCCCCTGCCCCCCTCTGCCACTCACACACTCACTACATCTCTCTTTCCGGCTGTCTCGCAATTGGTATCGCAAGTTTTTCAACACAAGCTCAACACGGACGATTGCCATTACGATTACGATGCCACTACGAGTGTAACTGTCTTCCGCTAGCATCTTACATTCCGTTGGACGCTGTCGTCCGGCGTGCCGCAGGCCGGTTGGTTAATGTCTATAAGCAGACATCTCAAACTGCGATACACTTGCCGCGCTTGACACTTGACGCTACACTAGCGACATTTTACCGCTTGGCTTCGTCTGCGATTCGTGTGAGATGCGAAGCTGCAGCAAACGGAGCTTACTACATTCAACTGCTGTACAAGTCTGTACGTTATACCGGTTACCATGGCGATCAAACATGGTAACAATCCACTCATGCCCTTCCTCTCCTCAAAATTCTTAAAGTTGAAGAAGGGTTAAACACGGGGTGATGATACGGCGTAACCGTATCGTGTAAGCACGAAGGAGGCGCGTAAAACGAGGAAAAGAAACGAGAGAAGAACGACGCAAGGCAAAATTATCGCAAGGATAACGATGGCGAACGATGTTGTTCGCAACGGTCGATTGCAAGAAACCACCACCGCGATTGTACAACGGACGAGAAATGACCGAGGCAAAAGAGGTATAGAGGTAGAAGAAGGAAATATATATGCTATCGGCGGATAAGGCGGCGATGTTTCTCCGTGCGGTTCAGCGTGTATGTGCATGTATACATGCATGTACATGCGTGTGTAATCCGCCCGCAATTGGCTCACCGTGAAACTTGAATTGTGCCGATGATCGAATGATCGAATGATTGGCGATCGATCGATCGATTTGCAATAATCGTATGCAACTTCATGCAATGCGCGTCATGCCGAATCTCTTCTCAACGGAACGAATTTCCCTCTCACCGTTTGTTGCTCCGTTCGCAGCTCCGGATATAGCAGCCATTGAGAGCCGTAATTGGTTGTTACATCGACATTACACGAGACACGAGTACAACGCTTGCAAATTACTTATCGAGCAAGAATTATCGAAATCGGATGGTCACGAGTACGCTAATTATTTGAAGGTGAGTCCGTAGTACGATCGATGTGGTTATAAACTATAAGAAATAGACAATCGTTGCAAAACTTGTTGTCGTTATTATAATTATCATAATTATTCGAGCGAAATTTCTCTCACGAACGTCCTAAGAAGCTCGGGACGTCTATCGAGAAATCTAGAAAGTTCTCATCCGTTGATAATTTATAAGTCAGGAACACGAAAGCGCGATATCTTCCTTTCGTTATACGCGGTCTCTCTCTCTCTCTCTCTCTCTCTCTCTCTCTCTCTCTCTCTCTCTCTCTCTCTCTCTCTCTCTCTCTCTCTCTCTCTCTCTGTCTCTCTCATCGGTCTTTTCAATTGTACCATCTCTTCTTAGGGTTTAATCCTAAGAAAAGAAGGCAAAATTCAAGATTCACTGGATTGTTTCCAAACGGCTTACAATGTAAATTCGACAAACGTCGACAATGTTAAACAGATAGCGAAATCATTGTGAGTAGTGCTAATACAAAACGCTAATACGCCACTCGTGCACTCGTGTTTGAAGTATACTGTGTCGAGCAAACACTTTATAATTTTACACTGCCTCAGGTTAATAATGGGAAGCCACCAACGTGCGATAGACGCGTACACCGAGGCGGAGAAGATATCCGCTCTACCGGATTGGGAAATATATTACGGTCTTGGCAAGTTATTTATAACTCGTTATATATACGTTATATACTCATTGTATTACATATTGTTTGTAACTCGTTATATCATACGATACGATATGTATCTCGCATACGTAGCACGAATTGGTTAAGTTAGATGCGCATACAGATAGGCATAAATGTTCCAGGAAACGTTATGCAATATGATACTTGATGTAAAAATATCTTTACACTTTATACTTGCACCGATGGGACACGACATTTGATGACATGTCACAAAGTCACAAACTGGAACAACGCTATTTCTTCGTTCTTTCATGTTTAGGCGAGGCTTATGTGAAACTGAATCAGTTGCAAGAAGCTAAGAAGTGTCTGAAACGTTCAGCCGAGTTGACGAGAAACGAATTGCCTAATCTTGCTCTTGCGAAACTCCATCTCCTAGATGACATGATTCCAGAAGCTAGAAATGCTTATACAACAGCTCTGAAGTAAGAAGTAAAAAATATCGCCAATCTTTCCCGGTACTTTCATGATTCTGTAATATGTCCTGAGGAAGGTATATTTTAAGCATATGCTCAGCTCAGAGTTTCGGCAACGCTGTTTCAACTTTGATTTATTGAAAGTCTTTTATTTTACCGTGAATACTTTGTCCCTTTATCACCGTCTTGACTCAATTTTAACTTTAACGTCATTAACGTGGATCATTTTTTTCGTTTTACGCTCAGCGGAAATCCCGAGAGCATCGATGCTGCGACGGAATTGGGTCTTTTGTACCTTAAGATCGGAGACACGCAACGAGCATTTCAGCAATTCGGAGCGGCGCTGGCTCATTCGCCTAATTGCGTCAATGCGATCTTACCTATGGCTTACATAATGCAGGTGCATGAGTGGAAAATCTTGAAAAATCGCGCCATTCTTTTTGTTCTCGCGCACACTTTTTCCTCCCTCTCTCTCTCTCTCTCTCTTTAATCTCCTTTTCGTATTGCCATTCCATGTCGCTTTGGAAATGGACGTAACTAGAGAGACACACCTATCAGATTGTCGAATGTCGGACCGAGTTTTAATTACGGGCATTAAGTGTGAACACTTAATCACGTATTTAATTACGGGTTTTAAGTGCGAGATTCTCTCGCGCTTTTGCTCGCGCTCGTTGAATTAATTTCGTTGCTTTGACGAACGGCATGCTACATTTTCTAGAATCATCGAGAGTACGACGTGGCACTGTCAAAGTACAAGGTCGCCGCGCAAACCATTCCAGAGTCTTCAGTACTTTGGAATAACATTGGAATGTGTCTTTACGGGAAACAAAAATATGTCGCGGTAAGTCCATCCATTCTTCCTTGAATTTTTCCTGGAGCATCAACGTCGTGCGCCCTAAAGCAATGTGTACTCTGTGATCATTTCAAATGATCACAGAATACAAAGCTCTGTATCTCTGATTCAATTCAACAATACACCCCAGTTGGTGAAAAAGAAATAGTTTCTTACAAATAATGAATAATTAATAATAATTAACTAGCCAATATAATTTTAAACGAGTCTGTAATGTAACGAGCATGTAACAGCACGTTTAATCTCAGATCTGATTATCAAAAAAGTTCTGCGATCCGATACAGTTGATGGTAGTAGTATCTGATTCGATGCTTTCATACAGAGACACATCAGTGTCATCGCGTCGCGTTATTTCGCATCGCGTCTCAATCGAAAATGCGAATCGTCGAAAATACAGCATGTGCGTAATAATATATCCGTAATTTACTTACAAGGCGAGAAGTCGCGCAAGGTAAGTAAGAGGTCATGAGTAAGAAGGAAGAGACACGAGAGAAGTCTCGTGACAAGACGTGGCCAAGATGAAATGAGAAACCGCGCGGTGTTTCGCAACCGCGCGCGATATCCTATACATTCTTCTTGTTTTTCGAGAGTACAAGTATAGAGACAAGACCAACACCGAGAGTACGTAGGCGCGTGATAAATTATTATTACCGTGATCTAATTAACGTCGTGCTGTATACTCACGAGTAAAATTTCTCGTAAAATTGAAATCGTGTTGTCATATGCGTACCGCTTGAGGACGGTGCCGTTTCCATCATGAAAAGGAAACTTTTATTTTCGTCCATTATGTGAAATGGAAGTTAAAATGAAAGAGACAAAAGGATGCTTTTTTAATGCTTCGCAGGCTATTAGCTCTTTGAAACGAGCGCATTATTTGAGTCCGTTGTCTAGCGTACCATCGTGCAATCTGGGAATCGTTTTTCTCACCACTGGGCAGCCTGCTTCGGCTGCAATTTATCTATGCGCCGCAGTTAGCGCCGAACCAAAGAATCCCACACCATATTTGTTGTTGGGTCGTAAGTAAAAAAAAAAAAAAAGAAAAAAAAACAAGAATTTGGGGAAAAGTCAATCTTTACGTTGCAACATAAAAGACATAAAGTCTCTCGCGCGAAGTTGATATCGCGATGACATTTCTCTCATACGTGCATATTTACATATTTTCTAGTGAAATTTTAATCCTCTTTATCCTTCGTCAGTGGCTCTAAAACGCCTGGATGACTTGGAGGGTGCCGAGAGATCATTAACAAAAGCTCATGCTCTGGCCCCCCAGGACCCATTGATATTGATTAATTACGCTGTAGTTCTCGACGCTCGTGGTAAACAAGCTAATGCCACTGAGATTTTGATTGCGCTCAATGACATTATGGCCGTTGTTGATGTCGATTCGCAGGTAATTTGAAAATCGTGCAACATCAGATTAGAACGTCAAGCGTGTAGTGCATTAATCAGTTGGTCGTATTTTATGAACGTTGATTATATATGTATATATATATATATATATATATATATATATATATATATATATACACACGTATATATATACGTATATATATATACACACTCACATATATCACACACTCACATGTCGTATAGATATCGCAAATGGCGAAAAAGTTATCCAAGAAATTGCTGCATCAGGACAAAGCAAACACCAGTCAAGAACCGCCCACGGACGACGAGGAACGACAATTAAGTGCTGACGAAGTTTGAAAGCTACGCCCACTATCGCTTAACGAAGGTCGGAATAATCTATTTCCAGTGAAATGATTTAAAATTTTTATTGCTTCGTACAGTGTGAACAACGTTACAATATAGCAACAGTTAATAGACGCGCATACTACATTTGTTTGGTTGTTTATTATCTGCACACCTTGAGGAGGTGTACACGTGTAAAGCATGGTGTGCAGTGTGTAATATAGTACAAGTCACATAAAGATGAAACCACAAGAGATCGAATGTACAGAGATCAATAGAGATTCGAAAGAACACGTATACAGATTATTTGTTTCAGGTAACATACATCTACTTTTATCCGTTTGATGAACCAATTAACTCGATAAGCTGATTAATCGGTTCGTTGACGATTATTCTGAGCGAGGGCTAATGTTATTGCAGTATTATGCAAACGAAAACTCCCAACTGTCTGTAATGCTCTATTTATTCTCGCGGATGAGTCTACTTTAACTTTAGTCTGATTTTACTAACTGCACAATGTACAATTATTTTGCTTGTTTAAACGATATAGCTCCATATGCCACGGACGATCGGCGGATGATTAAGCAGAGACATGGAAGGAAAGAAAATTTTTCTGTAAAATCTTTCTCTCTCTTTCTTTAACATTAAACATACGTACTTTGTACTTCGATTTGTTGCTGATTCATCGTTGACCACTTTTTCATAATGCGAGGTTTGAACAACTGGCCAAAGATCATACGAAATTGCCGCGACATGGAGCAATACAAGATAAAGTTGATGCTACCGTTCAGCAGCGCCAAAATGTCCATCAGCTCTCCAAACTTGTGGTAACAATTACGGAAGAAACAATCGCCCAGAACGGCGGAGAGCAGACCCAGGATGCCTTGGGGGATCTCCGTTACGAGAAACAACAGCAATACCGTCACGAGCATCCTTGTTGTTCTGTCGGTTCGTTTGTCAGGTTTTCTTATTCTTGGCGGGCATCCGTCCCTCTTAGTATCGAACAAGTCATGATTCTCAAAGTTGGAGTTTCTCGACGTCGATGAGGCCTTCGATTTTCTGGCCTTCGTGACGCAATGACTGTAGTTTTTCAGAATCTCTTTTCTATCCTTCGCCCTGAATCAGATGAAATCGGGAATATTGTGAAGGACATGTGTGCAAGTGAGAGAGAGAGAGAGAGAGAGAGGGAGAGAGAGAGAGAGAGAGAGAGAGAGAGAGAGAGAGAGAGAGAGAGAGAGAGGTAACGCGCACGGATAAATTTCAACTTTTTTTTTCTTTTTTTTATCTTTGCTCCAAACGGTAATTGTGTGTGATTGCCTTCTGTTTCCATTTACCTGTAAAGAGCTTTTATTAACCAACAGATTATGACGGTGAGTAGGACGCACGGCAGAAGCTTAACGATCACGCCGAGTATCCAAAAATTCAATTGATACATGAAGCCTTTGTCGACGGAATAATTAACGTCTACGTGATACAATATCTCCGTAGTACCGTTCTCGTACACGGTCTGCGCCTTTATCTGCCGTAAGAAAATTTAAAAAAGTTTACTGCAGCCATCTTTCCGACAGGGAGTACAACTCGAAACGAAAAGCGAGGGATCTCTTCTGTTTACTTACTCCAAACACGAAGTAACTGGGCGCACAGGCGAGAAACGGAGCGAGGAAACTGCAGGAGAGAGCAATCGTGCAACGTCTTCCGGTACACCAAGTGTGATTATACCGTGGAAACCTAACGCGCGGAGGAACAGGTAAAAAAAATCCCTTTCTCGAATGCGAAATCCCGCGTATCGGAATAGAGATACTCGCAAACTCACCTAATAGCGATGTACCTCCAAACAGCCAAAGTGAGCGTGAGGGCGATACTGATCGTGTGAAGAAGCTGCGTGAAATGCATGTGAAACAGCACGAACATCGCCCAACCGTACGGAAATATCCTGCGCTGCGGTAGCACGAGATACTTGTAAATCGCGAAGGGTATGTATTCCAGCATCACTAACATATCCGCCGTCGCGAGCCCCGTCAGGATGCGATTTATAGGCGCCACCTTGGTGTCCTTCCTCGTGAGGACAATGATGTTGAGCACATTGGTGAACGTGCCGAAGGAGCACACCATGAGAGCGGCGTAGCCGTGATAATTTTTGTACTGCGCCGCTAGATCGCGAATCACACCGTCGCAGTAACAGGAGGTTGTCGGCTGCACCGTTGCGATTCGGCTGCTTCTATTGCCTAAGCGTACCGCGTCCGGTACCGTTCCACAGGCCCCGGTGATTTGACCTCCGCCGCGGCTCCCGCCGAATCTGTTGCCACTGCGATCGGTCAGGTCGTCGAAGCCGAAACTGTTCTTCACGTAATCAATGTCCTCGTCGGTGATGTTGAACCGGCGAAAGATATCCGTGTAATTTCGCAGACGATACATACTCTCGATAGCTCTCCAATAACGCGACACCGAGTCACACCGAGGTGTGTGTTCGATCGGAGGTGTATTCGAGTGTATTTGACGATACCGATATTATACCGATGTAAATGCGCGCATTGATCGAACGGCGATATTGCGCGTTGTGTGACATTCCATTTCTCATTATCTCATGAGCGCTCTCGCGACTTTGACGCGATCGCGATCCCCTGCCGGAACGTTGTCGCTCATGCTCGCAGCTTGATAATCAGCGCATCTATAAATATCTCTCGATTAATTCCACTTTAAATTTATACACGAAGGCGGGTATTTGCCGCCTGCCCCAAGTTACGCTCGCAAGTTACTTTCGCAAATCATGGGCGAGATGTACGAGAGCACCGTGGTTGAAAAGTTGAATCCCCCTGATCGGCGGGGTCGCGCGTTTCGAATGAATCAGTGCGTCAGAGATTAATGAAATTTAGACGAACACAGCGGATTTTGCTTTTGTCAATCGAGTCTATTCCCGGGGCTTTCTGCCGAATGACCTGCCCTTCATTCGCTTTAGCGGAAGAGAAGCAAGGGCTAGAAGAGAGAGAGAGAGAGAGAGAGAGAGAGAGAGAGAGAGAGAGAGAGAGAGAGAGAGAGAGAGAGAGAGAGGGAGGGAGAGAGAGAGAGGGAGGGAGAGAGAAGAAAGAAAGAAACGATACCATAGAGATATACGTGCACGAATTCCGCGCGCTGAGGTGTCGTCTCAGAGGAACAGCGCGAATTATTCGTTTCGGATTACCCGTTGTTTGATCGTCGCATACACGTACACACACTTATATACACTTACACTCTACGACGACGACAAAAGATAACGATCAAAGGAAAGCGATACAGCGTAGCATCGTCTGCGCGATATTCGGCAACAGGTTACAGGTGATAGTGAGCGGATCTAACCGAGATGGGTAGCCGCGCTACTGCTGGTCGCGTTACTGCTGAAAATTCACAAGCATCCTTTACTCCCTCTCGACGTTTTCCTCTCTGCGCACTGAAAGAGCCTGCGCGCAGGACATGCAGGATGGTCCATCATACACAGTGTTGGCGCGTCTGCTCATATCGAATATCATAAGTCAAGTCAATGCTCGAGTTTCGAGTGGTGCTTGCCTCGTAATTAGTCGGTAATGAGCATCGCGTGCACACTGTAGGATCAAGTACAACAACAATTAATATGTGTGACTTAATTTTTATTTTGACGCCTCTTTTTCTTCTTGATGATGAGGCTCTCATTGATCATCTTTTACATTGATCATCTTTCTTGAATTTCGCACACGTTCGTACATAGTTTGCGACCCAGGAGGTCTTAGCTGGATGAAAAAGACGAAAAAGAGGAAAAAGAGTTGCAAGAGGAAACGCAGCGACGTGACTGCGCTGTTAACGCTTGTTTTGATTTGAAGCCCGATTTTCCGCCGGATGACGAAACGGTAGCTTCAGCCAGCCTCTCTCATGGCAAAATACAACCATAGACAGTGACAGTCCTACCAGTAGGGTGAAAAATGACGTCTGCAGGTCGGACAAGCTAAACGCCACGAACCCCTTCGCTTCGCTCTCGCTCTGGCGTTTCACCACTAACTTCCTCTTCGCAATGATGCGTCGAATGGTGCGGCTGGTCCATAGGGTCGGCAAGCCGGCTTGATTCAGTCGAGCGATCAACGCGTTTACTCTATCGCGTAGAATTGAATCCCTGGGCAGCAGATACGACAGATAGTACGTACCTAACACAAGTACATACGTGCAACATTAACATTATTAAGTATTACATACGTGTGTGTATGTGTGTGTTACTATGGGTCGCGACACTCGTACCTGGACACTCCTTAATGAGATGAAGCAGCGGCGCACCGCCCGTGTCGACCAGCTCTTCGTTCAAAATAGGGAAATGATGTTTTCTCACTAATCCCGTGACATTGCGATAGTAGGCGGCGTTTTTCACGACGTTATAGCCGTGTCGCAGCTTTCGTCTCAGACTTTGTATAAGCGGCGTCGTGTCCGTGTCATTTTTGGGACCGAAAAAATCGCTCATGGCAAATGAAGTGAACAGTATCGGCAACCCCGAAGCATCCAGATCTTCCATACTGTCGATGTCCCGGTAATACATGTCGTGCGCGAAGCTCTTGTACAAAATACCATTGAAAAAACCCACTATGGTGATGTTGCCGAGGAAAATGCCCGACAGTAATATCCTTTCAGCGTTCGTGCACGGCAACTTTTGGGGGCAACCGCAGTTGAATAGAAACGACCGATAGACGGTCGTGAGGAAATTGACCCTTCCCGTTCTGAAAATAATTGTCATTGTTATTGTTGACACGGCATACATTCTCCGCTTTGGTCATTGAAGAAGAAAATAATAATCGTGATTAATTCAGATTTGAATAATTTACTGCGTACCTGCGTGGATTGAAAACCTGCAACATGTGCCACGTGACATACGTGAGAATGTGAGACAGCATCGAGAAGATCCAAACTGAGAGTGGAAAGAAGTGATATATCCGAAGCCACTTGTGTATCTTGGACGCTTTTGGCGCAATCACGCATACTCTGTCAAACTCTACTTGCGTGGTGAACTCTATCACCATATTGTTCACGTGGGGGCTGTATTTCTTCACGAAAAAGGACACAAAGCAAATGTCCGTTCTGCCGTACACCACGTCACCTGCGTAATCCGTGTGTGTGTGTGTGTGTGTGTGTCATCGAATATAATCGGCAAAGTACAAAGAAAGAGAAGGGGAGGAAGAAAAGGAGACAGAGAGAGAGAGAGAGAGAGAGAGAGAGAGAGAGAGAGAGAGAGAGAGAGAGAGAGAGAGAGAGAGAGAGAGAGAGAGAGAGAGAGAGAAAGAAAGAGAGAGCGCAAATGTTTCCGCCTTACGTTAGTACCTATAGCACCGATGTACGTCCCGTTGGGTAACTGGTAACCAAACGATTTGTTATCCGTCGGATGTACTCGCTTCACCGTAAAATTCATCCGTCTGGCTATTATGTCCAGTATCGTCTCGTCGAAGCCTTTGAAAATATCGAAATAATTGTACTGTACGTTGGCTGATGTAATCGAAGTGTTCATCAGCCTCGCGGTCGATTGGCTACCGTTGAATATACCCACTTTCAACTCGTACCCATTGAGATCTCTGGTGCAACGGTGCGTTGTTAAATTCGACGAGCGTACCGTCGTGTTTACGGTCACAACGTCAATCCCGCCCCATGCTGAAAATCAAACGCTAAATGCGCGATATCTTTTGCGAACCCGTCCGTATATCTGCATGTAAATATATATATATATATACGCGGGAGAAACGCGAATCGATGACAAGCTTCGTCGCAGCGCGGTGCGCGTGACTTTACGATACATCACGAGACAGATACATGATGAATGATCTACGAACCGGAATCGTTGATTTTGACGAAGGGATTGAAAGTGCTCGCAAGTCGATTGATTCGGGTCGTGCCGTTCATGAGGATCCCCTCGGAGACAAAGACGTTGTACATCTTACGTTCGTGCCACAGCGTCCTCAGGATATCCTCGATACTTACGTCCGGTTCGTTCTCCCGATCCTCCTGATGTTTCTTCCTCCGATCAACGATCAACACGACGAATCGATCTCGCGGGTTCCACTGGAACGTTTCGTTCCGCAGAAACGCTCGGTCGAAGGCGCGAGCGTTCTTCGCGAGAACGACATGTACGTTCCACGTGTTTCGCGTTTCGTGCGAAGAGTCTTGATCTCTGTTCGGTGTCGGTGTTCTTTTGGCCGCGTCTCGTCTCGTCGGCCGCGTCACAGGCAGATTCACGTGGTCGAATGTAATGCTCCAAATGCTCGACGAGCACTCCGCGTTCTCGCGCACCATATCCTCGTCACCGACAAAGGACTTCTCCGACGAGCGTCGAGAGTACACGTAAGTCCTCGACACGATCGTTGTCTCGCATTTCCTCGCGACACCGCGCACCAGGTCGTCCAAGTATCGCGACACGTCGTCGGTGGAAGCCGGACCAGCGTCGCCGCTGGGGACGCGATGAAAAATCGCGGTTTTGCAATTTTCCATCGAGCAAATAACGTCGCTCCAAAATTCGACTGCTTCCCGCCGCCATTGGTAATCACCGAACGATGCTGCGCGCAGGAACAATGACACCACGAGGATAAACTCACTCGTCAGCTAGAAATAATAATTGTTTGATTCTGTGATGAAAAAGTGATGGACGAGAAGCGCATGCAAAGTATTTTATCGCATGTACATACACGCAAATGCGTATCAACGTACCATGTTTTGCGAAAGTCAACGTGTGAGTGTGCCCCCTTATTTACATTGCCGCTAGATCTCCCAAAGTCTCTCATCGGCACGCTCGGCATTCTCATTCATTATTCATGTGTACCAGTGTGTATGTGTGTGTGTGTGTGTACCAGTCGCGTACATTAATTGGTCGACATTGCTCACCCTTATCGCTTTACCGAGCCTTACCGAGCGCGCGCGCGCATTATCGCCAACCCTCTTTCTCATTGTCACGCTGGACGCGCGTATGCATGTATTTGTGTCCTCGATTGTAAGATCGACCCTCCAGATTGTGACTCGATAAACGACCAGATAAAGATAAGCTCACCCCTACGTTTCGTTTGTTCGTCGTTCATCCGCCGTAAACCGCCACATTCCTCGATTAATAGCGCTTAATCGTTCCTTCTTTAAGCGTGACTCAAAGTTGGAGTTGTCCCTCTCCCCAACCCCTCCCTTTTTCTCTCTTCACAGACATATCCCTATAAAGAGATTCCGGCAAAGTGTAAAAAAGTGTAGATTATCGCTCCGATCCCGTCGCACCGGGAGACGTTTCACACGACAAGTTGTCATTCGCATGGGTAAATAAACCTAACCCACTCACCCGCGCCCGCGCGGGTGGTAACGGAGGATCATGTAGGTAGGTAACACATCGTTCTCACTGCGCGAGCGTATTTGATATGCGGAATGAGTTATAATAATATTAGCTCTCCTTATCTCTTTTTTTTTTTTCTTCAGAGACATCGGTGTTCGCCCCGACGCGACGCGCGAATCGTTGCTCGCCAACCGGGCCTTTAACTTAATGACACGTCGGAAAGCTGACGTTTACGAGGGGAAGTAAACGTTTGCTCGAGGTAAATATAAGGAAGTAGGAGAGAAGGATATAAAGCGGCAACGCGAGACGACGTTTCTAGGTAGAGGGTGAGAGTTAGAGCGCGTTTAATCAGTCGCGCATCGGCTCGCCATTTGCATCATTCCCGTTCACCTGTGTTTTTCTTGCGCAATATCTTCATCTGCTGCCCGTAAAACACTTCTCTCTCTCTCTCTCTCTCTCTCTCTCTCTCTCTCTCGCAAATTGCAGCACAAGAGTCGACGAATGCGACAAATATCAAATATTCAGTGAGCCATGAAGAAATCGGCAAGAAATCGGCTTGCAGAACAGCCTGCAGTTTTCTTCTTGCTGAAACAATTTCAACATCTCACGGATGACACACAAAAAACACGACGGTATACTCGTCAGTGTCTATCATCGCCTTCCTGGTATTAACGACGTGACGCGCACGGTGGCCGAATATCGATCGAGTGACACGGTAGAGAGAAGAGAAGAGAAGAGAAGAGAAGAGATAGATGGACGGGAGAATATTCCAAAGCCGTTGGAAAGAAAACGACACGCGTCGAGCGCGCAGCACGATCGTGGATCGTCGCGTAGCAAACTCGATTTTAATACTCTCTCTTTTTTTTCTTTTTTTTTCCGAGCCGCAGCGAAGCGAATGATTTACTGGGCTTTTCTTTCTTTCTTTGACGAGCATGCATCAATCCGCATGATGGTTAGCGGATAACAATACGTGTCAGCCGCTGCCGAGTCGCTGACTATGAACGAAAAAACAAATTCTAACGATGCCAACAGCGACCGCGTTGACGCATTGACGTACGTCCGTGTTGTTCCATCCAGCCTAGCCGGCTAGCTAGCTAGCTAGCTGGCTAGCTAGCTAGCAGCAGGAGCACGCGTGTGATCTCTATCTGACGAAAGCAGGACGCGATTCTTAACTATACCTTCATTCCTCGGTTCGCACCGAGTGTTTGTGTAAAGTTCAGACTTCCCACCCAACGCTGGGGCATTTATCGCCACAGCGTCGAGAGCGTTGATCAAGCGGATCGAGTAGCAACGGAACGGCCCGAGTCCGCAATGACATCGTTCTGCTTGTTGATCGTTTGCTCGTTGACGTTGACGTTGACGTTGACATCGGTCGTCGCGAGGAACGCGACGGCCGCGAGATACAACATCACCGTGAGAAACGACGCGTCGACCCGGACGGAAAGTGAAAATCTCAGAATCATTCTGGATTACGTTCGAGCCGAGCAGCGGACGCATCCCTCGACGACCGTCTCCCTCGTGTCTCCCTTAAACGCGCGTTCCAATCTGGCGGACAGGCTCGTGTCCGAGTACATGGCGAGCGAGTCGCTCGTCAGCTACAAGATCACGATGAACAATCTGTCGCGAAAGTGCACGTGGCAGAATCGCATGGACCTCGTGTGGATCTTGATCGTCGACGACATCGACCTGCTGAATTTGTTCGTGCACGAACAGAGTCACATCTGGAAGGCCAGCAATCAGTACTTGATAATCATTACCGCCGAGAGCGTCGCGACGGGGCCGCGAGAGATCTTCCAGAATGTTTGGAGGAGCTACAGCGTCCACCGGATCGTCACTGTCTCGATCCACGAGGGATTTCGATGCTTCAGCAGGTACCTGCCGTTCGAGAAGAAGAACCAACGGAGCGATTACGGCGTCGTGCGCAAGGCCTGCCTGATGAATCGGCAAGACCGCCCCGTGGAGCTTTACGACAAGGTCGAGAGGCTGAACGGCTACCCGATACGCGTGATCGTGTTTCAGTCGCTGATGATGAACGTCGCGCTCGACGAAAGCACGCCGAGGAACGTCACGTACAAGGGCGTGGATGCGGACGCGATGTTCCTGCTGGAAAAGACGATGGGGGCGCAATTCCGTATCGAAGTGATACCCGAGTCCTGCAACGAGGATCCCTTTCATCGCGCTCTCCAACACATCGAGGACGGCGAGTCGGACATAATCGTCACCAGCTTCTTCATTCACGAGTACAAAGAGTACCACAGGTTCGAGTTTACGGCCAGCATCTACGACGACCAGTTGTGCCTGATTGCGCCTGCGGCTAGTTTCATGCCGAAATCGTACATGCCGATATTGCCGTTCGCGCCCGATGTGTGGGCGATTCTCGCGCTCTACAACCTCGTCGTATCCGTTCTGTGGTTCTTCATCAAGTACTACAGCGTCTCGTTTCGTCGACGAGAGGCTGTCCTGTTGCCCTTAACGAAGGCCGATGGCAGTAGACCGATAATGACGGATTCGACATCACGGCGATCCCGTTTGTCGTCGTCGCCGCTGCCGCCGCCGCCGCCGCCGCCGCCGCCGCCGCCGCCGCCGCCGCCGCCGCCACCACCGCCACGTATACATCCCCATGTTCTATCGTGCTTCGACCTCGCGGAGACGTGGTGTTACCCGTTGAAAGAGGACGACGGTGGTGGTGGCACGACCGCCCAGAGAGCTTTTCTCTTCGGCACGCTCTTCTTCGGCCTGATCGTCACCGGCCTCTACCAGAGTTGCCTGGTGTCCAGCTTGAGCAATCCTTTCCACCACCCCGAGCTGACCACCCTGGAAGATGTGGCCAACTCTAATCTCACGATAATTACCAAGTATGACAACTTGAGGGAGAACACGTTCACGGATAACACCAGCTTGGCCTGCAGGCTAAAGGATAAGGTGCGGTTGGTCCCCTTCGATAAACGCACCAACGATATGGTGGCCTTCGACAAGAACGTGACCGCCCTCAGCCGTTTCGCGTCGGTCAAGCTGGACAACTTGTCGAATTACTTCGACGAGGACGGTAACGAGCTGCTTCATATCGTCGAAGAGTGCCCGACCACTTATCTGTTATCCTACATCGTGCAACTTTACTCGCCGTATCGGGAAAGAATCAACGGCTTGCTGTTGCGTATGCAGGAAGCGGGTCTCATCGGGTTGTGGTACAGCAACATGACATACCCGATGTACGCGGACGAACAGCGGAGGAAAATGGCCAAGAGTGACAGGAGAATCAAATTAACCCTGGAGCATTACTCCCTCACGTTTCTCGGGCTTTCGCTCGGTTTACTTTTCTGCGCGATTGTGTTCTTGGCCGAGCTGTATTTCGCCAAACAGTGGCTCCGCAGCCAAGTCGAAGAAAAGCGCGCGAGTTTCCGCGATATCGTGAAATAAGACTTACGTTTTCACACTCTGTTACCTGTCTTTCTGCGTAGAGTACGCAGCTCGTTTCTCAATTCTTTCTCTCTCTCTCTCTCTCTCTCTCTCTCTCTCTCTCTCTCTCTCTCTCTCTCTCTCTCTCTCTCTCTCTCTCTCTCTCTCTCTCTCTCTCTTTCTCTCTCCATACGCTTGTTTACAACGGGGGCTCTCTTCGCTGGTAATTACCCACCATTCGAATCCGCTTCGCGTTTTAACGACAAAGTACTTCATATCTGATCTGAAATTGACTCGATATTATCTGTATGTGTGTGTATATTCCCGCGTGACGATGCCGGATTTAGTCGCGATCACTCGACCGCAATGATAGATCAATCAGCTGTTCCATTCCGCAGCGCTTGTGAGTTTGATTAATTAGGTATAATGGAGGGGCTATGTGTCTTGTGATATCGATCGATCCAACATCCTTCCGCGATACACAATTATTTGAGAACGATGTTGAGCACGAGTTAGCGTGAAAGTGACATTCTCGAAGAGAGAAACGAAGTTTATTTTAGGAATCTACGAAAATACGCACACGCCTCTATACGTGTCTCGAGGAAGAAGAAGAAGAAGAAGAAGAAGAAGAAGAAGAAGAAGAAGAAGAGGAGGAGGAGGAGGAGGAGGAGGAGGAGAAGAAGCTCGCAGTCGCGAGTCGTTGCTCGATTAGAATCATGGCCTCTCAAAGATATATGCCATTGGCAGCGATTCTGACGACTATATGTTTAGGTATGTGCGCGATTCACAGAATACAAAATTGTTAGTCGATACGAAGGAACTATGAGATATAAGTACAAGTGTGTATCTGACATTTTCTCATAGATATATCATCTGTCGCCGTCAACGTTGTCGCCGCTACGGTCGTGTGGGATCCGAAAACGTCTAGGCGAGTATATATTATTGCTATAACGATTTTCTTTCACTCTTCTTCTGCGATAATACTCTTTGCGCGTAAAGCCAAAGTTTCGATCTTACAGACTGAAAAGTAACGTCATTATTAGAGAGTTATTAACATTTGACGGTAGATACGACGGCAGTTACAACTTGGACAAAGGACCAGTATTTTACGAGGCGTATTATCCGGACGTTCGAGACGCTTATCAAGAAAAACGCTACTTCGACCGGAATACAGTATTGGAGACGAGCTTCCAAGTACCCTCAGATCGTTTCGCATATTCGGCTGAAAGTTTGAATCGTCCTGCCTCGAATGACGAGTCGTCGTTCATCGTGGTGGACGACAACGCGGAGAGTCTGCAACCGGAGGACAAACAACGAGGTACTATAGGACGTGGACGCAATGTTGTGCAAAATTTCCACGATCGACCCGCAATGTTTCCCAAAGATGACGACGAGAGCTCTCTGAAGACGAACATCGGGGAAATCTCCAAGCTCGTTAGAAGAGCAATTTCCCGAGATCTGGAGAACTGGAATGCACTCGAGAAATATCTCGACCGTGCCAGCAATCAGGGACAGCAGACACCTATTACTCAATCGGAGATGCGTTCTAAGGAGAGCCGCGAAAATAACGAGTTCGATTCGTCGCAGAAGCCGAGTCTCGGGCTATTACGACAATTGGAGGCGCGTAACGTGAAACTACAGCCTACTTACTTCGAGGAAGTTCGGAATGACGCGAGCGGAAGCGCGTTGAACGTCGGTGACGCGCGAGCCGCTGACGCTCCAATTGCCATTACCTCCAACTCCGACTTACCTCTGGAGAACATCTTCCAACCGCGGCCGCAAATCATCAAATATACATTCCTCAAGAAAACCAAAACGCGACACGACGGACCGAGCAAAGATACAATCGACAACACCACACCACGGAATTACGGCGACAATATCATACGCGAAGAGATCGCTAACGACAGCCATGACGGCAGGCTGGCCAAGGGAAACGTCAAAGTGACGTCTATTCAAGTGAGCGAGCTGCCACGACACAAGACCCGTCATCATCACGGTGAACTGCCCAAAAGAGATTACACCGCTCGCCACCATCGTACGGCCTCCGTCGCCTCTCCGATTGTCCGATAAAAGAAAGACAAGATAAAACGAGCCGCAGAGAGAGAGAGAGAGAGAGAGAGAGAGAGAGAGAGAGAGAGAGAGAGAGAGAGAGAGAGATTGGCGGGGGATTATATAGTTGCGTGTTAATTCACTACGACTAACTTTGTGTCGTTTTTTCACCATCTAATTCATAACAGTCATATATAGAAATCGTGTTATCTCTTTAAACTATTTATTAAATATACTATTTAATATACATGCAACAGTCATATATTCTCCATAATGCATGTGTAGCTACAATAAAATGGCTTCCCGCGACTTACGCCAAAAAGTTGTCAGTTGCGAGTCGACGTTGACGCCCAATTAAAGGTATTTTTCCCTTACATATGCGGTATTTCGTAATGCTCAGAGAGAGAGGGGGGAGAGAGGGAGGAGAGGAGGGGAGAGAGAGGGGGGAGGGAGAGAACCGCGAATTTGGTCAGTCTATCGTGTATTAGACTAACGTTTCAATCGGTGCTCGTCTATGCTGGTTGGAGAGACTCGTTATTTTATATAAATATATATACATCATGTGTCTCGTGAGTACACAATGTATCTAACGCAACTATCGATCCTAGACAACTCGAGCAACTATAAACAGTTAAATGCTTCAAACTGCATACATGACAGAGCAAGTGCGTATTAATTTGAACATTTTAGAAAACAACCTCCCCTTTACAATTCCACTTCTAATAAGAAAATAAAATGAGCTTTCATCAACAGTAGATACAAATTCCACATGTTGGATGGAATGTTTGCGTAAACCTTCTCATAGCCTTAATTCTAAGTACCGTGGGCGTTCGCGTGAGTGAAATCTAATATTACCATGATGAAAATAAAAAAAAAAAACTACATTACAATGTTCGTGTAATATTTAACACGCGAAGGTAAGTACCTCGAATATTCGATAAGTAGTAGCCTACTCTATTGGAACACAACCTTTCTTGGTGAATAATCTCAGTCAACTACATCTACATTATTATGTTTACCTCGTTCAGTTATTCAAGTATTAAGCTAATATTACACCCTAAAGATTTTCCTACATTCTCCCATTCTGACCTGTTATATCGCACGCATCATGATGTGATTAACAACCGTCGCCAATTAACGCCAATGTTAATGAAAAATAATAACAATGTCCCCGCTATTATTATTTGAATTAAGAATATATAGCAGATATGTGAACATGTGCAAATGAACTAGAGCTCATGAAGCGCTAACTTCGAGTAACGGCCAAAACAAAGTGAAAAGGCAAGACGTCAATGACGCTGTGGCTACACGCTCTCATAAGCTGACGCACATTGTTGAGAGACAAGATTGATCACGTCCAGCTGTATCCAGGTCGGCAACGAATAATCCAAGGATCCATTGAATTTCAATCCTTGATTAACTTGTTGTCCCGTCTACAAAATGTTTCTTAGTATAAATTATATACTTTTACTCGCCGCATTTATAAAATATGTAGTTTTCTTCTTTATATATGCGGATCATCGATTCTGACAGTCATATTATCACACTTGTAATCGCAATATAAATGCTTGCAATAAAAACGTTGGTGTTACAATGGGGAAATAAATATAGAATATTCTAAAATGGAGACGTATTTGAGTCACCTGTTTTACAATGTGGATGAAGATGGGCGTGTACAAAGTTGCGTAAAGTTTCGTATGTCTTTTCCAAATCGTTATTTTCTATGATAATATCAAAGTTACCTGGTGTTTCACCTAAAAGGAAGTACAAGTTATTACTACAGTACTGTACAACTAAATATATACCATAATTAAATAATATTCTTTCTATAGAATATCAATTACAAATCGCTTAAAACACACCGTATTCCATTTCAGCTTTGGCAACCGACAATCTGTGTTCCAATGATTCTTCAGTTTCAGTGTTTCTAGCCTTCAATCGTCGCTCCAACTCCACAAGAGATGGTGGTTTTACAAATACATAAAGGGGATCGAGATGAGGAGTGCGTTTAATTTGTTTTACTCCTTGTATGTCAATGTCTAACACGCATACCTTTCCTAAACTTTGCACCTCTTCGACCGCCTGTTTACTGAAATAATAATAACAGAATGTTGGATATCATTTCCTCTATATACTTTTACAATACTCATAACAATCACATCTACTTTACCTTGTCCCATATAAATTCCCACTAAATGTAGCAGTTTCAATAAATTCACCATTTTTTATTTGCTCCTGCATTTTTTCTTTATCCGTAAAGTGGTAATGAGTCCCATCTTCCTCACCAGGCCGAGGAGCCCTAGTTGTATGAGATACCGAAAATTTAAAAGTATCAGGATATTCATCAAACAGTCGCTTTATTAAAGTGCTCTTCCCACTACCGGAAGGACCGCACAATACCAATGGACGTGGCCCTTTATGAATCATATTGAGACAACCTGGAAATTAAGAAACGTTCCTTATCCTATTCTTACCGATTCTCTCTGAGATTAGATATTCTTCCAAATGATTAAATTCACATTTCTAACATACGTCATCGCAATGCTGTATTATTGAATCGAACAAATTATTCGTATGAGATGAAAACTATGAGTTTCGCATACCTATCTTTAATGTCCTAAACCACTGTGCAGACATCGCGAGTAAATCGCTGACGGTTCAACACTGCTCATTTCAAACTACTGATGACAAGAACATGATAAACATGCGATGATAAAATTTTCAGTTAAAATGCTACACGCTCTTTATATACAGTGAATAATGATGAAAAAATATTCAGCACTCAATGAGAAGTATATATCACCACCAGAATATAAAACTAAAACTCGTCACATTTATTTACATCATATTGTGTAAGGTTACCAATTATACTGACATTATCTAGTAAACATTAACAAATTTTACATTAGCAATCCGATTCTAACTATGTAATAATGAAGACAATTGAATCAATTGAATTAGTTACGCTGCGCGGCCGAGTACACGACATAGATCACACTTATAGCTACTATGCTAATTAATACTACCGAATGTATCGGAGCGTCAAACGAAAATAATATATTCGTTTCGTTACCTTTATTTTCCTAGAGATAACAAACGGTCGCAGCTCTGTAAAGCAAAATGCAGTGATATAGCACGATGAAATTTAAAAAAACTTTATGTGAATACCGAATCGGCAGATGAATGAGGTAAAAGATCGGAATTAATTACATCGATAAATATACAAATAAATATATAAATATTTACACAAAAAGTGAGAGAGAGAGAGAGAGAGAGAGAGGGAGGGAGAGGGAGGGGGGAGAGGGAGGGGGGAGAGGGAGGGGGGAGAGGGAGAGAGGGGGAGAGAGAGAGAGAGAGAGAGAGAGAGAGAGAGAGAGAGAGAGAGAGAGAGAGAGAGAGAGAGAGAGAGAGAGAGAGAGAGAGAGGATGTATTTATTAACCGAGATGGAGACACGACACACTAATGGGAATTTACACCGTATTAGTTGTGTGTCCGATATTTAACTTACTGCTGAGTCGTACTACTTGAGAAAAAGATAAGCCTGCCCTGTCATTGACTCATACAACGATATCGAATCTTTATCGAAAGCACCGATGAAATTATTAATAAAGACTGTTAGTCTTATGGGATTTAGCGTACCAGAGAAATCTCGCTGTACATTAGCGCCCTCTTAGGAATATCATGATCGGAATCTAAAACTATAAACTCGAAATAAGCATAGATGGTAACAGATATGGAGAAAAGTATAAATATGGAAAAAAGTATCAAAAGGATATCAGTACCGAAAAGCAGGCCAAATGTGTGTGTGTATTTATTTATTTGTGTTTATAAATGTATGTACGGCAAAGTGCCTATTGCACTCAATAATACTCGGGGGGTCCACTCGACTCGATAAACCGGAACCATAATTCACCGGAAACTTTTGGAATTCACTTTCACTCAACAGTCAACTCGTCAAATTACGTAAGATGGTGCAATCCTCGAAGCAAGAGAAAGAAATAAATTTACCAATTAAACGACACAGAATATCTTGTCAGAAACTATTATCTTAAAAACGTAATCGTAAAGGAGAAGGAAGAAATGATGGAAAAACTATCAGCAATTAAAAACAGATTATCGATCGTTACCGATAATGTAAATTGTCGATAGTTATCGATAGTATGATCGATAGTACTTGGTCCTTGCCCCGTCTGATAGAGGCGAAGGCGTAGTACTTCGAATTCGGTCATTTTGCCTTGCGGCTTCTCCGAGGTGGTGTATGGTTCGACGCGCTCTCTACGTTACACGTGCGCACGTGTTCTCGCCAGGTAGCAAGAGTCGTTTCCTCGAGATTAAGAGTGGAGTCACAACGATAGCTGTTGCAAGCACGGACAAGAGTTGGGAGTTTCGGAAACGTGTGACGAGAGAAAATCATGGCAGATTACGTATTAGGCAATGTAAAGGCTTCGGACGTACCACTGCCGGACGATGGGACGTCGGCCGAGCGTTTGTTCGCCTCCGGCGATGGCCTCACTTATAACGATTTCATCATCTTGCCAGGTTACATAGATTTTACAGCGGAGGAAGTCGATCTATTGTCACCTCTAACCAAGAAAATTATGCTGAAAGCCCCGCTCGTGTCCTCTCCTATGGATACCGTCACCGAGTCTGACATGGCTATTGCGATGGCTCTTTCTGGTGGTATCGGTATCATACATCACAATTGCACCCCTGAGTATCAAGCTAACGAAGTACACAAGGTAATGAAAAAGGAACTAATGGATTTGATATATATATATATATATATATATATACACTATATATACTATAATACTCAAATTGTTCTACAGGAAGAGAGAGAGAGAGGGAGGGAGGGAGGGGAGAGAGAGAGAGAGAGAGAGAATTTCTTATAAAACATATAAAACACAAAAGATATGTAAACGCTTACCTCTGTAAAATAGTCATACTTGTTTTATTTACAGGTGAAAAAGTACAAACATGGTTTTATCAGAGATCCAGTTGTTCTTGCGCCGCATCATATGGTCAACGATGTCCTGAATGTGAAGGCTGAACATGGTTTCAGCGGAGTACCTGTCACAGACACTGGGAAAGTTGGTGGTAAACTATTAGGCATTGTCACTTCCAGAGACATTGACTTTCTTGAATGCTTACAAAATTATCAACATAAAAGTCTTAGTTCAATTATGACAACTTTGGAAAATTTAATAACGGCACCAGCTGGTGTAACGTTACAAGAGGCAAACGCCATTCTGGAAAAGTCAAAGAAGGGTAAGCTTCCCATTGTGAACGAACGAGGAGAACTCGTGTCTCTGATGGCAAGAACGGACTTGAAAAAGAACCGCAACTATCCAAATGCCAGCAAAGATGAGAACAAACAACTACTGGTGGGAGCCGCTATAGGGACACGTAGCGCGGACAAGCAACGACTGCATCTACTCGAAGCTGCTGGCGTAGATGTAATAGTGCTGGATTCGTCGCAAGGTAATTCGATGTATCAGATCGAGATGATCAGGTACATCAAATCGCAGTATCCGGATCTACAAGTGATCGCGGGCAACGTCGTGACCACGATGCAAGCCAAGAATCTCATCGAAGCGGGAGCGGATGCGTTGCGCGTTGGGATGGGTTCCGGATCGATTTGCATAACGCAGGAAGTGATGGCAGTAGGACGACCGCAAGCGACAGCTGTTTACAAGGTTTCTGAATACGCTCGAAAATTCGGAATACCCGTAATAGCGGATGGTGGTATTCAATCGGTCGGACATATTATCAAGGCTCTTAGTTTAGGCGCTAGTACGGTGATGATGGGCTCTCTATTGGCCGGAACGTCCGAGGCCCCGGGCGAGTATTTCTTCAGCGACGGAGTTCGCCTAAAAAAGTACAGAGGGATGGGTTCGTTGGAGGCCATGAATAGAAAGGATGCAAAGGGCTCGGCGATGGACAGGTATTTTCATAATGAAATGGACAAGCTGAAAGTAGCTCAAGGTGTCAGTGGTTCTATAGTGGACAAAGGCTCAGTGCTGAAATTTCTACCATACCTGACGTGTGGTATCAAACACAGTTGCCAAGATATCGGCGCAAGATCGCTCTCCATCTTACGATCTATGATGTATAGCGGAGAATTAAAGTTCGAAAGAAGAACGCACTCGGCTCAACAAGAGGGCAATGTTCACAGCTTATTTTCCTACGAAAAGAGATTGTTTTAATCATGCGCACGTAAAACACGCGTCACGCGAAAAGGTACCTGCATTTAATCTAACTGTACAACAACTCTTTCACACTCGCGAGACAGATGATAAAAAATCTCATTTTATCCATCGCTTGTATACGAGACGATCTCGGCTCGCTACACGCGGAATGAATCATTTATCTCAGGATCAACTCTTTGCGAATAGACAAAAGTGACAACGGCGATCGCCGATATTTACAAAAATTTACGAGCTTCTGTAAGTAATCACGCTGTGATTACTCATTATCTGTCTGTTTCGTATGTATTTATCTATATGTGTGTATGCATGTACATATAGTGTATGTGTATATATATATATATGTATATACACATCATACGTATATGTATATGCCTTTACACGAGATACTTTTAAACTCGAAACGTGTAAATTATACATCTCAGTAAGCTATATATTAAAATCATGTAGATTAATGAGAGTTATGTATGTCATGTATATGAATTACTCGACATCTAAAGCTCAACAACTACCGACTGTTGTTGTATGACTAATTAGACAATTCTGCAGAATGGGCGTGTTATATATATCAGTATATATATATATAAAATCCAGAAGGTGTAAATACCTTTGCAAATTTGATATTAGAGTAAATATCAAGACAAGGGATTACTATTCTACATGATTTAAATGGTTTGATCCTTAACTAATCTCTGGTGAGATATAGTGTGTTAATGTTTCTACAAGTATAAATCATAGTTTTTGAATATTTTACGAATGAGAAAGAAATCAGGTTTAACTTTGATATGTTTTTATTTGCAAATACTAGACTTCTATGGACAGATGATAATATTATTCTAAGATAACGTCTCCGTTCCAAAAAATCCTGCCTGAGCGCAGTTAAGGATTAATCAACCATCTTTTAAAATGGTGGTCGTCCATTCCTGAAACAATACGCTAGTATTTTTAGTAGTTTGACATAACTTATCGAGCCATATTTTTGTAAAATTTGTTCAAATGTGTTCAGTGTTTTTTTTTTTTTTTTTTTTTTTTTTTTTTTCTTTCCCCTTCTCCTTTCCCCCCAATGTAGTCTTACACTAGACATCACGATGTTCTTTTCAAATAGTATTAAGCTGATATAAATATATATTGATTTTATATGTGCCCCCCTCTCGCCCCTCCCCCGATATTGTTACGTAGCTAATACATTTTGCACAGTATTGTTACATAATAAACTATATCCTCCCCCTCGAATAAAAATCAAGTGGATGTTGAAACATTTGTTTTTCCTTTTTCCTTGTGTACAATGATTTTGTATTTGTTCAGTTTTCCAATTTCCAAATGTATTTTGGAGCGAAGTTACACATATTTTTTGTTTTTTAATTCTACAGGCGGAATTACGTCACGAACATCTGGAATATTCCGGAATCTTCAAGAACTTGGTAGAATCTCCGTCGTTGGCCGACGCTACAACGTCGCCGTCGCACGGCGCGGTGCGCCTCGCGCCGAGCGACGCTGCCGCGCGGCCTCATTAGCTTTGCTACCAGCCGCGCGACAGCGTTGCGACCATGGGACCATCATTTTCGTACCATCCTACCATACATGGTCCATGGGACCATCATTTTTGTACCATCCTACCATGCATGGTCCATGGTCCAAGCTAATCCTTCTCAGCTTTGCCACCTCGGCGCGAGGCGCACCGCGCACGCCGCCGCGCGACGGCGACGGCTGCCGCGCGGCTGGTAGCAAAGCTAATGAGGCCGCGGAACAGTGGCGCCTGCCGCAAGTGCCAGAGGCGACCGAGCCGATTGTCTTGTATGTTATGCTTTAGCGAATATTCGTTTCAGGCATTTTCGAGCCGTTTTCGGTGTCTTCGGTTGTCGGACAGTCTGTCAAATAACCTGAAAAAATACGATAGACTCGAAACATTTTGATTGGAAACGCGGCAAAAATCTGAACGCTATGATTGGTAGGCTACAAGACAATAGACACACACAGAATTCCAACTCGTCGGAAATTTTGTCGCTGTTGCCTGTTCCGTGTTTCATTCTGGGTGCGTTCCGTTTCACGCATATGCGCGCATTTTTTATAGTATACGTGACATAAATAATATAGATAAATGCGCGCATATGCGTGAAACGGAACGTCACCCTCTGCATTGGCATTTGGCATATGCATTCCCTGGTGTCAGAATTTTCTGTTTCGATTGATATGCTATCGCTATCGTTATTGGCTAGAGCCAATAATAGATTATTCTTGTAACAGTCGATTGTGATTGATCTATTTTTATTCTTACTGCCTGTTGCCTGGCATTGTGTTTAGGGCTTAACGCTATCGCTATCGCCTAGCATTGTGTTTTGGGCTTTAGCCTCGCTCGCGTCGCTGAGCGAGAACGAGAGCGAGAAAGAGGGAATGATATTCTCGCTCGCGTCGCTGAGCGAATACGAGAGCGAGAAAGAGGGAATGATATCTCTTGGTCTGTTCCTTTTAGCTGCACTACCGAACTGGTGCAATAAGTTAAAGTGAGAAATAATATAGTTGTCTCATTCTAACTTATTGCAGCATAGTTCCGCAGTGCAGCTGAAAAGAACAGACCAATTATCTCGTCGGTGCTGATGCTCTTTGGTCTGTTCTTTGTAGCTGCACTGCTGAACCAGTGCAATAAGCTGGAGTGAGAATACCTAGATTTGTCCTAAGCCAGCGGCACACGGTGCTTGTTTTCGTGCTGGATTGCTTGCTGAATACTGTGCTTTGATTGGTGCGTTTCCATCCATCTTCGAAAATGTACCAATCAGAACGCAGTATTTTCATCCAGCAAGCAATCCAGCACGAAAACAAGCATCGTGTGCCGCTGGCTTAACTTATTGCACCAGTTCAACAGTGCAGCCACAAAGAGCAGACCGCTTATACACGCAACCTAACTAACCTTAATCGACTTTCGCGAGGAGAGATATTATGTGCATTTGATGTGAAACAGAGTCAACACAGAACGAGTGTTGTAGTAACACGTAAGCAGTTTTATTTTCATTGTGATCGTTCGAAAGCGGGAGCTCACAGCTCGTCACATCTGCTTTCGCTTTGTCCATAACCTCTCTCATCGTACGTATATTTCATTTCAGAGGTATTCTGCGGCACGCGGTATTTAAAAAGTAATTAAAGTACGTCCGAACGAATCAGTCTTACACATGATAAACATGTCCTCTTTATGCGACATGGATATCGAAGATTTCGGAGATTTTGTCACATCGTTGGATCTAGTTCCCAAGGTGAAGAAGCACTCGAAGAATGTCAGGATACGAGGGGTAACAAGAAAGCAAGAATCTCAGGAAGCGCCGCAACCGTCCCTCTTGTCGAGTATAATACCCGGCACGCAGACAGTATATGTAAAGACTTGGGGTTGTACCCACAATAGTTCGGATGCTGAGTACATGGCTGGTCAACTTGCAGCCCAGGGTTACAATCTGATAGACGACAAGCTCAAAGCAGATCTGTGGCTCCTGAATTCGTGCACGGTCAAAAATCCGGCGGAGGATCAGTTCAGAAACGAGATTGAGAATGGGAGAAAAGCGGGCAAACACATCGTGGTCGCGGGGTATTTATAGGTTACTCTGTTGATGTATTTACGAATGCGCGCATGCTTGTATCACTTATATTAGGATGACGCGAGAGCCATTCGTAAGCAAGCTCTAGCTTCGTATTGTCAGCGTCGTGTTAATTTGCAGTGGCTTCTAGTATTATCTAGTGGAGAGCGTCTGGAGATGAATGAGAATGTCGTTTGTTTCTTGCAGATGTGTACCGCAAGGTGCACCAAAGTCACCTTTCCTCAAGGGATTGAGCATAATAGGTGTGCAACAAATCGACCGAGTGGTGGAAGTCGTAGAGGAGACACTGAAGGGCCACACGGTGAGGTTTCTGCGGACGAAAAAGAACTCCACAGGTAGAAAGATCGGCGGCTCTACGCTAAATCTGCCCAAGATACGAAAGAATCCGCGAATTGAGATCATAGCTATTAGCACAGGATGTCTGAATCAATGCACCTACTGTAAAACGAAACATGCGCGAGGCCAATTGGGTAGTTACCCGCCCGATGAGATCGTTGCGCGAGCGTTGCAAGCGTTCGAGGAAGGTGTTTGCGAGTTGTGGATCACGTCGGAGGATACTGGTGCTTACGGTAGAGATATCGGTACCAATTTACCGGAGCTACTGTGGAAGCTGGTCGACGTGATCCCCGAGAGTTGCATGATGCGCATCGGCATGACCAATCCGCCGTACATTTTAGAACACCTCGATGAGATCGCCAAGATTCTGAGACATCCTAAGGTTTACAGCTTTCTGCACATCCCGGTGCAGTCTGGCAGCGATCAGGTGTTGGCGGACATGAAGCGCGAGTACACACGCGCCGATTTCGAGCACGTGGTGAATTACCTGAGAGAGCGAGTGCCAGACCTGACGATCGCCACGGACATCATTTGCGGTTTCCCCAGTGAAACGGAGGAGAATTTCGAAGAGACACTGACGCTTTGCCGGAAGTACAAGTTTCCGAGTCTCTTCATCAATCAGTTCTTTCCTCGGCCTGGCACACCCGCCGCTAGGATGCCGAGGATACCCACGCAGCAAGTGAAGGCAAGGACGAAGAAGCTGACGGAATTGTTTTATTCTTACGAGCCGTATGAAAATCAAGTTGGAAAGCTGTGTTGTGTGCTGGTGACGGAAGTGGCGCACGACAAACTGCATTACGTAGGCCACAACAAATTCTACGGGCAGGTGTTGCTCCCTAAAGAGGAGGAATATATGGGAATGATGATTTTAGTGAGAATCACCGAGGCAACCAAATTCTCGATGAAGGCGGAATATGTTGAAGGTTACTCCCCAAGATCTAGGCTTCCTCCGACGTCTCCACCGCCACGAGGAATCATTTCTGGATTACCGAGCGAGACGAAACCGCCAAAATACATGACAGCGACACTTGCAGTGATCTTTCTCGCCGTGATACTTAGAGTGCTATGGAATTTCCTGCATTATTGCAACATTTTCTGATTAGATAGTTTTTATAAACGATATATTACGCATCTCAATCATCATCAATTATGAAAATTGTGTAAAATAGATTTTTTATAACGTATATGATCTTGTTATTTATTTAATGTAAACATACGAGAGTCTTGACTCGTTGACTTGGAATGAAATAAAAGATGCAAACACGTGAAAGAAATGTTATTATACTTAATTGACAATAAGGAACGTATCCCGAACGGGCTTACAATGTTTGATTATCTTAACGCAGATGCGATACACCTCTCTCTCTCTCTCTCTCTCTCTCTCTCTCTCTCCCCCCCTCTCTCTCTCTCTCTCTCTCTCTCTCTCGTAGACGCTTGCGTATTTTACAATTGGTCTAACGCGTGAAATTTTTCAAATTGTGAAACAATATGTAATCGGGAGTATTGAGCATTTTCGCACTTTTAATCTATTCTAGAAACCGAGTACGCTACAAATTCCTTATGTTCTATGTATTAAAATACGTTTGTTTTCTTATAAAAATATCAAGATTTATTTAACTTATTGTATATATTCATCGCGCAATTTATTTGGTATCACCTTCTCATTGCTAAAGATTTCTTCTCTGCCCATTTTTTTCTTTTTTCTTGTCCTTTAGACAGAGCTTAAATCAACAAAGTGTACTGGGTTCCTGCCAGAGTATCTCCTGAGTATTAAAAAGTAAAGGTCTACGGATAAAATTTTTTTAAATACCATTACAATTGCAATTGCTTATGTGAGACGACGAATCGCTGAGACAAAAAAGAAAGAAAAAAAAAAAATCTCTAAATTCTTCCACGTTTCATTCGTTTACTGTAACTCCATCGTTACTTAATTTCTTCATTAAAATGTAACACAACTATTTAATAACGCAAGCAAATTGAAAAATTGTATAAATTCAATGCGCAATATAAATACATGTGTATGTGTATTAAGTTACGAAATCACATGCACACGGGAATACGCAATTGGAATTAATTCCAATTAAAATATCAAACAACTATTTTAGTTTTGACAATAGCTAAAACAGTCGATGCAAATAATTTCAGATCGTTACATTTGTAAGATGATTTCCCTTCTTTTCACATTCGTATCGTTTTGTACTCAATAATTGTTTCGTCGAGCGTTAAAAAATTTCTCTTTTGTGAACGCTATTTGTTTCATTTGCTATTGTTTGTAAAAGTAATTTTATCATGATAATGCGTCGACCTGCAAGGATCATGGAATAATTCGACAAACATGATAACGTTAAAACATTGCGTATATGTGAGATATCGAATCTCAAAATTTTGCGCGACACTGTGAACATAAAAACGAAAAAAAATATATATATATATTATTATTATTATTATTATCACGCTCGATTATTTACATGCAGTCTTTATTCTCGCTCTCTCGCATATAACGCTAAAGAGGCAACATTAAAAAATGAGACATGAGCGTTTTTTTGGAGTACGAACGCCCAGAGAGAGAGAGAGAGAAAGAGAGAGAGAGAGAAAGAGAGAGAGAGAGAGAGAGAGAGAGAGAGAGAGAGAGAGAGAGAGAGAGAGAGAGAGAGAGAGAAATAAAAAATACACAAATAAAACGCAAACAAAATATGCTATCCCGTCGAGGGTTTTGCACGGGGGACGAAAGACATCGAAGAAATGTACACTCGATGATCCCTTTCACTCCCTTCAACTGTGTCAAAAGTTTTAAAAGTATAATATGGCAAATGCGTTATGGCGCGAATTAATCTCATGGCACAAACGTGTCGCATTCTTTGTATCGGCTATTGACGTCAGTTATTAGTTAGTACGAAGACGAAACGAAGATGACATCTCTTTTGTCGAACGAGTTTAGTGTCCAACAATGACAGGACGATTGCCTTGGCGATTAAAACAGTTGCAATTGCTACACTGCATCTGCTGCCCTTCATTGTTCTCGACGTCATTCTTGCTTGCCACTCTGACACTGCATTCGTTTCGTCTCCTTATTGCGCGCCGCCTCTAGCGCTACGTAATCCTCAATATTTCCATCGAGGGAGCGATTCTAATCGAACTACACGGGTGCACGCAAATACGGAATTAAATAAAATCTGATAAAGTCGCCAAGGATCCGCAAAGATTCTAGCGCACCTCGCGCGAACAGAGAATGACAATTGTCTCTGCGGTTCGCGGAGGCGCGCTTGGCCACATCCTGGTCGCCCCAATGTTCGTTCTGTTCACAGCAGTTAATGTTTTACGAGGCGATTCCCGCGAGGGCGTGCGGGAATCGCGACGGAACTGCGACGGGGTCGGTCGTCTCTTCGGCTTCATTAAGGAACCGAGCGCCCGGTAAAAAGCGGAATATCCGGGCGGTGCGCAAAGTGTTTCGCCGATCCCTTGGCGGATTTTACGACCGCGGCAGCAGCCTTTATGGGGTTTCTCATTTCTTTCTTCTCTCTTATATTCTTTCTCTACCTCCTCCTTCTCTCTCGTGCCGCTTCTTCCTTCTTCCCTCCTCAGTGTTCATTGCAGGGTACGCTTTTGCGCCGTTGATCTCTCGTTCTCTCCCACTCATCGTCAAGTTTACTACAAAGACCATCGAAAGGAGGAGGAGGAGGAGGATTTGAACATTCGGGTTGCACCGTCGCCGTCGTTCGGGAGATTTAAGCGATGCTTAAATACTACATCATAAGCCCTAGGTGCCGATGGATTTGTGCAAATTAGGGCGTTTGCCGATTTTACGGCGCTTAAAAATTCACCAATTAGAATTTACACAGCTACTAACTATGCGACCTGAATCGCATTTATGCCACTCTGCGTGAGTAGTGACAGGCCTATATACACCATCTGAAGACACCATCTGTTGTAAAGGCACTTGAAGGCATTAAGGCACAACGTATGCGTCGCGATCGGCACGAGGCGCAACCGAATCCACTTGAACGAAATTACTAAATTATAACGCGACATGAATATTACTCTCAATTACTTATTAAATTACGTTTGATTGTAACTCGCGGCTCGTACTTTTGATTTCGTCCATGTTTTACGTAAGCGCGCGCGCGCGCGCGCTCACATACTCACATACACGCATACACGCATACACACCCACCCAAACATACACACACATGTACATCTCCGCTAATTTATAATTTACATCCTCTTGTTCGATGGAGTTGATGCCACTGTAGCTAGACTAGTTCTTCTATCCCACGACGACGAATCAACGTGTGTGAACCACGTAGAGTGTCGCGCGAGGTCGCAAATTTCCTACAGCCTCCGCAAGTTCCGCTTACTCTGCCTCGAGCCGACAATCAGACGTTTGTTACGTTTCGTCGGGGTGGCCAGCAGGGGCGTCATGCACGGGCCTATATGCGGTCTCGACGAACAGGAGATGCAGAATTCGATGGAGCAGCCTTGCCTCGTGCAGGTCCCCATGTTCTTCTCGCTGTCCACGTGGGAAGGAAACGTGCATTTCGGGCATGGTAGCAAGTATTCACCGTGTGCGAGCGTGCGACTAGCCTGGAATAAAGGGAATAAAGGAATGTAACGACAAGAAACAAATACTAGCGCCGATGGTATCATGTAGTATACTTTGTGTAAAAAGTATCAACGCACGAAAAAGTAGCGCTTTTGGCAGTTTCATCTTTTATTTCTCAATGTTTACTTTATATCAATAATTTTCCGCTAAGTATCTAAAACGTGCCGCCCTTGAAAAACAACCCCGAGTAGTAGGGGTCTAGTCGAATCGGGGAAGGAATGCCGACGTAGTTCCCCTGACTCCCTCACTCCAGCCCGGCTGGCTAGGCGGTAGGTAACCCCGGTGGAGTTTTAGCCGGTAAGAATCCGGGCATAACCCCCCGCCCCCGGGGTATCCATTTCCCCACCGTTAACCAAAAAAGAAAAAAAAGGGGTGTAGTCGATGCAAGTGCGAAAATTTGTCTCGCGATATTCTTTCCGATATAGTATAAATGATCGTAATATCGATAAGAATAAGAAATTATTTGATAATAATAATTTGTAAATTGGCGATTAGTCTAATCGTGGATAAAGAATGAAGTTGGTAAAATTGCAGACTCTCGGGAATATTAATCTACTGAGCAAAGAGCAAGAACGTCGTTGATCAACGATCGATAAAGCAGGGACCAACTGCGACAGACGAGACGTGACATTTGAATTCGAGCTGCGAATTATCTTTTGTGCGCGAGTTTACAAATGTTGAACACGACGGTATGTTGAAACTCATTTCAAATTTGAGAGATCCATCATCTCACACATCTCCAAGTATATAAACTTTTGATTAACCGAGCAGTGTGTCGCGGCGACACGGTCTTAGATCATGGGGTATCGTCGTATAATTTGCTCGGTGTGAATTTTGTTAATGAGACAGAGGACGGAAGTACTATGAGAAAGTACGCCTTTTACTTACGCGTCCTTTGCGAAGGAAAAGATAAAAACAACGGACGACCGTGGACGAATCTGTGTGCGTGCACTTGCTCGTCCACGAATGATTTATCGCAAGTTAACGCAAGGTTGCGAAAGGTGCGACGAACCTCTATGCGCGCAGTCCTGATCCCCACCGTCCTCAGACATCCTCCGGAAATGTGACTTTTAAATGAGATGTAAAGATGGGAATGGGTAACAAGTTTGGAGAGGAAAAATTATATCCCGCGCGATTTTCAAACTCGACGCTGATGACGCGAATCAAGAAAGATGTTTCCCTCAAAATGGATCCGCAATAACACAACATTAATTTATTATACAAAAAGAGAAAGAAACTCGAGAGATTTTTCCTACGTCTGTAATATAAATCTTAAATATATAGTTACATATATATTAGCGTTGATTGAAAGATATTCGTAATTAGATACCGTAAATAATTATAGTCATCGCTGCTGCTAAAGCGTAAATACGCGTGACGGGGGCACGCATAATAAAGAACGTACAGGCTACATTGGAGTATAAAGTTAGCAAAGTCCGGCGGTAGTCGATACATCTGAACACCGCCTTTCTCAGAACCTTGATAAGCACAGGCCTCCTATCGCGTATCTTTCACACTGGCACGTAGCTTTGCACGTAGGCAGTAGAGAGATCACGAGAGAAATGCGAGGAGTGCGGGGGGAGGGGGGAGGGGGGGGCTCTTGCCGCAGTCCGGTCCACAGCGGTGTCAAAAGTATTTCTCGGCGATTAGTGATTTTTGGTTAGAAAAGAGTTTAGCGGAATAAACAACGAGCAGCAATAAAGATAATTAAATAAGGATAGAGGATATTTTCAATGTAATATACATTAACCGGGAGAAACATCTCAATTGAGGGAAGTGGCTGTGCTGCCAAGAACACTAATGCGAATTAATCGTCATAGAGAGAAGAAGAGTTTATTATCGTTGATCCGATGCGACTCTCGCGTTTCATCTTGCGATCTCACGTGACACGCGTGAGAAAATCTTTGTGAATGCGGCGGCGAAGAAGACAACGAGAGATGTGTGTGAATCTTGACGCACATTCTGTCGAGTGTATTATTATTATTATTATTATTGATGTGCACACGCGCACGCGTACGTGTTTTACCTTTTACAATACCACTGGCAAAGCCAGCCGAGAAATTCACGGCGCTACCGTCGTAATGTTAATTCGCAGATTCGATCTTTACTCCTTCCCCTCCCATAAACGCGTATGGATATTAGGTATGCGTAGGTGGTACTCTTGTACGCGCAGAATAGCGTATACGCGTTAACGAGATATGTATAATCTGCGTTGACGCATTTAGTTTAGCGGTAGCGAAATGGTTGGACAAAGAGGCAAGTGTTGGCGGCAGCGTTGTTAAAGTGGGCATCGAGAGCGCAACAATGTGGTAGCCGAGATTCAAGGGACAAGGCGCGTATGAATGCTCCGAGAAAATTCGACGCTACAAAGGAAACCCGATGGCGCTGGCTGTGGCTGGCTCACTTGACTGCCGAGTGAGATGAGGCTTACGGTATAATTATGACTATTCTCAACATTAATCGCTCGCGCATTCACGTCAATGACGACATCAATGACGAACGAATGAATATTGGCCACTTGATTGTACGTATCGTAACGGGAAAGGAAGAAGGGAAAGAAATTGTAGAACAGAATGTGCTACACGGCGGATTGTTGCTCGCGATCATCAGATCTCATTTAGAGAGATTGAGAGATTCGGAAAACGCTCGGTTGCGACAAATTTTCGAAGGAACGGAATTTCAAGACGTAATAAACGAAAGGGAGAATATATTCTTCCCCCTCCCCTCCCCTCCCCTCCCCCCGCTAGTTTTCCTCTTCCTTATAAGCAAAAGTATGGCGGTCGTTGAGAAACGGTTGGGATCCTAAGTATACAATGTAGAAACTAGCCCGAGCGGCTCGAGGCAATCCCTACGAAGGTTTTTCCAAGAATTATCACCGATACACCAACGTTGTGACTCTAGGAGATTCCTACGCATAGCGGCCATTACTTTTTAATATTAATGCGGCCTACTGATGTTTTAAATTCCAGACGAAGGCGCGATCGAAAAAACTGTAGAAATGCGGGACAGGAAGTTGATTGTCAATTGTAGCATACTGTCTGAAGAAAGAACGTGCTTTTTCAAGTTGCAATTCAAATTCGTTCCAAAGACTCGGTCGGAGTCGATAATTTCATGACCAGTAATGTCTCGTCACATATACTTGATCTTTCAACGATAAAGTAGCATCAAGAAAAATAATTTAAAAATGACATATTTTTTTCACGTATATCGTATATTAATGGTCCTGTCGAGATATCATCATTTCGGATTTCGGATATTCGTTATTTCACACAAGAGCCGCCTTGTAAATAGCCATGAACTAATCTCCGGAGCACACTCACGGCCCTAGCAACTTAATGAGGAAATGTAGAAACGGCTAGGGGCTCACACAGGCGTCCCAACGGGAGTGCCACAATGTAGCAGATGACCCGGCCGACTACTCCGTATCTCCCGCGTAAAGGGTTCATCGATCCCCACAAAGTGGACTCGTCTCTGGCTTTCGTAACGACTACCACCAAATAATCTTTTGGAGTCTTAGTGACACGAGAAGAAAAATTCCCATCGACCGTGTAACGCGGATTGATAGTGGGCTCTGTATCGTCTGATACACTCTGAAAACTCGCTTGATAAAATTTACTCGGAAGGTTGGAACTTGATGGAAATCGAAAGTTTGTAAACTTGAGACAATTCAGATAAATATATAAGCCAGAAATGCTTTCTCTCTCTCTCTCTCTCTCTCTCTCTCTCTCTCTCTCTCTCTCTCTCATCTAAGACGAAAGATCCAGTTTTGTTATCGTTGCAAATTTGTATGTAGCCTTTGTACGTAATTGGATATAATATAATATACACACAAAACAGTGCGGCGATCGCAACATTCGTCGTGATAAAGGTTGAAAAATTGTTATCGCTACGACGTAAATGTAGCATGAAGAGAGCATACATCGAGAGGGAAAAAAGTGAGCGGTTGGCACTTTATAGTGGAACAGTCCATATAGGCATATATTGCATCGTTGCAACAAAGTGTCGCGCGCGCGCGCGATGTCAGGGTGGTGACAAAGTAGCCTTTCATATCCCTCCGTTACCCAGACGACCGGATATAGGACCTCCTCGGAAACACGTAGAAGTTGATAACGGTCCATGCGTCGGCATAATGTTGATACTGGATAGATGTCGCCTCCCATACAAAGAAATGCCACACAAAGAAATGTTTACTCGAAAGTCGACCCAACTATGGCGCGGAGCGCCTGCTTTTAATTCACATTGTTCCAATAGTAGCTGTTACAAGTACGACCACGTTTCCACGTTCGTGCAACCAAAGTTCCAAGGGATAACAGTCGATAAACATACAGACGAAATACATTCATATGACATTTTACTACATTTTAATTACTCGTCTATATTAAAAATTAGTTACTCGGTACGCAACATTGTGAGAAGACTGACACGCGATGTAACAAGTAGCACGCGCGGTCGTAATTGTATGTATTAATGTAATGTTATACTAGAGACAATCTTCCCCATCCGAGCCCTTGTCACCTTGCGATGAGAGCTTCTCCTTCCTCGGAATGGATCGGTACACGCATATTGCATACCGTTGCTAATTTAGCGTACTGATTTTGCAACAGCGTGCTGTGTGCGCGAACGCGATAATCAATTAATGTAGGCAACGATATAAGCGGGAGGAGCCATTAAAACCGCATAGCGCATTAGCGCTCCGTTACTTTTCGCGTGACGTCTGAAATCGTCTAGGTAACCACAAGCAGTCTAAAAAAAACTCACTTGGAAAAAAGGTCACTTGGGTGATTAATGGCAGTGATTTGTAATTTTTTTTGTCTCACACAACATAAAAGACGCTTTTTCCTTTTCTTTCTTTTCTTTTTTTTTTTGTTTTAAGCTCGGCTACTTCTTTCTTCTTTACTCGATTTATCACGCAAGTAACGTTTGTTAATCCTTCAAGTCGTTCCTGATTGAGGACGCGATAAGACGCGATCGCTGCAAAATT